CGCCACCAGAAGCAGACTGAGCCACATTAGCGATCCGGCGACCATGTATGCTGCTGCCCGGGCCGACTGGTCGAAGATCTCCGCCGGTAAGACGCCTGTCACGCCTGCTGGGCCCAATCCGAAGCTAAGGATGTAGCCGAACACGCATACCATGCTGAGGTAAGCCATCCCTTCGACTCCTTGTTTTTGGAGTGTGAGGGCGACGGTGAAGACGATAGACCAGAAAGACATAAGAGTGTAGCCCCCAACAAGAAGACACTTGCGGCCCACTCGTTCAATCAAAAAGTTGCTCAGGATGGAAGCAGTCAGCTCAGATGCCCCTGTGCCAATGGTGGCGTATTGGATTCTATCTGCAGGGATGCCCGCCTGAAGAAATATGTAGGAAGCGTAGAAATAGATGGAGTCGTTGCCGCACAGCATCATGGCACTGCTTGCCACCGCGACTGTTCGGAGTTGAGGTCGTAGGTCGGGATCCTTAAAAAGGGACCAGAATGTCTTCGCCGAAACCGCTGATCCGGAATCAGTGTGCATCTGCTGTTCTTCAAGCATTTCATTCATTTCTAACGTTGGAGCCACGCCGCCACGGAGTCTTTCGAGTGCCTGGACGCATGCTTCCATGTCCCCTCTGTCAATGAGCAGGTATCTGGGGCTTTCCGGGAACCAGGGTAGCGTCAGCACCTGGATCAACCCAGGAAGCATGTTGCTGGCTAGTAAGTAGGGCCAAAGAGGTTCCGTTCCCATCACCTCGGTCAGTCCCACAACTTGACCTAAGAAAATCCCAAAGGCTGTGAAAACAGCGGAGGAAAAAGCCACGGCGCCCCGCAGGTGTTTGGGGGCACTTTCCCCAAAGTACATCGGCTGGACATTCATGCTGAGCCCTGAATTAATACCCACAAGGAACCGAGCGAAGATGATCATCTCAAACGACCTTGCGACCCTGCACAGCAGAAAAAACAAACCCCCGACGAACAAAAAGACGTTGTTAAAAAGCAACGAATTCTTCCTTCCAAAGCGCACCGCCATCGGACCGGCTAGCAAGGCCCCGAATAGACATCCCAGTGAGAAAGCGGATACAATAAGAGTCCAAACCAGAGTCACATGGGGAGTATCCAAGCTTGTGCCCCAGCGTGCTGCGTAGGTATTATTGATGAACGTTTGGATGTAGCCGGTGGGCGAATTGATAATGGAAATATTGTATCCATACTGGAAGGTGCCTCCAATGGCAGCGGAGCAAACCGTCAGAGCCAATGTTCTGGAACTCGATGGCTTGCTGGTTTCTTCTTGTTTCACAGTTCCTGGCGGCTGCATGGCAGGCATGGTGGCCCTTTGAATAATCTAGTGAAAGAACGAAACTGTCCAAACGACGATCGAGGATCGTTCGTTTTCAGCATCTCTTCCCATATGAGGAGCAGTGTCGTTCCCGACACCTTTGTGTCAGCGGTGAAACAAGTGAAATCACTTAAGTATTCGAGTCCAGTTAAATATAAACCATATTTCATAGCTGTGGGCCACGATTTGTGCTCACCATAATAAAGTACTGGGTAGAAACATATTAACCCCATCGTCATGCTGTTTAAGTGAGCTTTAAAAGAAATTCGATGGTATGTGTGATGACCTTCAAGGTTGACTTGACCGCCAACAGTAAAAACCGTCTAAAAGTCTGAAATGCAAATCAGTTCGAGGGAGTTGAATTGAATACCTTTACTTTGCCGACTATATTGCCTGAGCCACCGAGTGGACTTGCCATCGTCGCTCAACTTCCCGAAGCTGATGTCCCAATGTTAGCCCTCTAGAGGGGAGTGAGCCGCAGCCAACTTTAACAACGGGTAAAGTGAACCGTCGAGTTGGGATGTTTTCACGGTGGCAAGTTGTCTAATTAGAAAATAAAAATGGATGCACAGCAGTGTTGAAAATAATGATGACAACTGAGACGTCAGAAAAGTCACAAAGTGGGGAAGGTCATCGGGTTTAATTGTCTTGAGATAGATACGGTTTCCATATTTATTTTCCCTTTTGCTTTGTTCATATCCCCCCCCCACACACACACACACACATATATATTCATACAGCTATATACACATATGCAAATATATCTTTAGCATTTGGAGAAGCAATATTGACAAACAGTACAGAGATGTGCAACATGCATGAGCAAAACCTGAATTCCCTTGTTTGCTTTTTGGGTCTGACTTGACGTGACTGATTCCCTACAAGAACGGGTTTCAAGAATTTTTCTCAGTAAGGAGAATACGACTCTTTGGACTTGCGAGCACTCTCAGAAAGAACCCGACAGCCTGACGAGGCCATATACAGCAGAAGCAGCAGCAGCAGCAGCTGAACCAGCAATCGATTGCATTTCATTCAAATGACAGTACTGTAGAACGTTCATTTGTGAATGTGACATTTGCTCTTTGGCACCAAGTGACAGAAACTGGGACAACCAGTGCCGATTTTTGCATGGATGCATTTCTGCATTCATGAACTTGAGCATTGCAACATCATGCCGTTCGTTCAACTGAAACCTCATAAAAAAAAAAAAAAAAAAAAAAAACTTTGGTACGATAAATGATTACACACTTCCAAGTACGTAGTGTTAGGGGCCCTGCGGTTGAAATTATGCATAAATGACAAATGGCACAAAACTGTGGAGCATGATACCGTATTCAGTTTACACAGTCGGGAAGTGCGAGTAATAAACATCAGCGACTTATTCTTAACATGCTCTCAAGGGCACCTTTCCCATTTTTTATGACCATTGCAACAAATGTTATTTAATGCCACAGGTACATCAGTGAGGTGAGAGTACAGTACAGTACGTCGTCTTCCAACAGCATGTGATTTTTTTTTTTTTTTTAAAAAAGGCTACACTGTCCTATGAGGTCGTCAAACAGAAATGGAAGATTATTTTGGTGGTGATGCAGCAAGCAATTCTGCACAGACTATCAGACACGGGGATCTGGAAGATACATAAGATGGCCACAGTTCCCTGAGTTCAGTCTTCTTGGTCAAAGTCTTTTGGTACGGACAAGTAGCTGTTGACTGTCTCCTGCACGTTGGGATCCTCCACTGGCTCATTCACCTGCTCCGCCGGCATCTTTCGTCCATTCTTTCGATCGAACTCCGCGGTGATCTCAGCCAGGCTCTTGCCTTTCGTCTCTGGGACCGTGAGCCCCAAAAACACAGCTGACAGGAAACACACAGCCAAGAACGGCAGGAAGCAGATGCTCCCCAGACCGCTGACGATAAAGGGAAACAACATTCCCACCAGGAATAGACTGAGCCACATTAGCGATCCGGCGACCATGTACGCCGCCGGCCGGGCCGTCTGGTCGAAGATCTCCGCGGGCAGGATTCCCGTCACACCTGCTGGGCCCAAGCCGAAGCTAAGGATGTAGCCGAACACGCATACCATGCTGAGGTAAGCCATCCCTTCGACTCCTTGTTTTTGGAGTGTGAGGGCTACGGTGAAGATTATGGTCCAGCAAGACATAAGAGTGTAGCCCCCAACAATAAGACACTTGCGGCCCACTCGTTCAATCAGAAAGTTGCTCAGGATGGAAGCAGTCAGCTCAGATGCCCCTGTGCCAATGGTGGCGTATTGGATTCTATCTGCAGGGATGCCCGCCTGAAGAAATATGTAGGAAGCGTAGAAATAGATGGAGTCGTTGCCGCAGAGCATCATGGCACTGCTTGCCACCATGACTGTTCGGAGCTGGGATCGTAAATCAGGATCCGTAAAAAGGGACCAGGGTGTCTTTGCAGAAGATGCAGATCCAGGATCTGAATACCTCTGCTGTTCTTCCAGTATTTCCTGTATTTCTAGAACAGGGGCCACACCACCACGGAGTCTTGCAAGTGCCCGGACGCATCCTTCCCTGTCCCCCTTGTCAATGAGTAGGTATCTTGGACTTTCGGGGAACCAGGGTAGCGTCAGCACCTGGATCAACCCAGGAAGCATGTTGCTGGCTAGTAAGTAGGGCCAGAGAGGTTCTGTTCCCAACACCACGGTCAGTCCCACAACTTGACCTAAGAAAATGCCTAAGGCCGTGAAAACAGCGGAGGAAAATGCCACGGCGCCCCTGAGGTGTTTGGGGGCACTTTCCCCAAAGTACATAGGCTGGACATTCATACTGACCCCTGAATTAATGCCCACAAGAAACCGTGCGAAGATGATCATCTCGAACGACCTTGCGATTCTGCACAACAAAACCAAAATAGTAGCTACTAGCAAAAAAGAGTTGTTGAAAAGCAGAGAATTCTTCCTTCCAAAGCGCACCGCCATCGGTCCAGCCAGGAGGGCTCCAAGTAGACCACCAAGTGGGAAAGCTGATACAATCAGAGTCCAAACCAGAGTCACGTGGGTAGTCGCCAAGCCTGTGCCACTGCGTGCTGCGTAGGTATTATTGATGAACGTTTGGATGTAGCCGGTGGGCGAATTGATAATGGAAATATTGTATCCATACTGGAAGGTGCCTCCAATGGCAGCGGAGCAAACCGTCAGAGCAAGTGTTTTGGAACTTGATCCTTTGCCGGCCGCTTCCTCTTCCGCATTTCCTGTCGTTTTTTTGTGAGACATGGTTGTTCCACAAAGGAAAACAAATGGTGGTCTTCACAACACCACAGTGAGTTATCCTAAAATCTCATTTCCAACGCTTAGCGTATCTTCGGATTCTGAGAATGAACCTGCTGAGGTTGCAAGACAAAATAACGGCGCCAATAGAGAACCAGTCAAATCAAATCAAACGGGAACTTCCTCAATGTCTGCTGTCAGGAGGAATGTTTTCGATGTGTTCACTCCCAATTAATATTCACAACGCAATAATTAAACTATATCATCATGCATATACTAGTTAATGTCTCTATAACTGGATCTATAACTGTAAATTAAAGATTATAGTGCGTTGGCGAAAGCATTTTTCCCTGAAAGAACAAATGTCGGGATAATTATTGGACTATTTCAATGTATCCTGATTGGGTTTGTTGCGCTGTCGTCATTAGAATGCGACTATTATTGTCGTGTGTAGGAGGATAAATGTAAGTAACAGCTGATATATCTTTCTTTTGTTTTTTTGAACAGAAATATACAGACCACTAGCATCATATTAAGGAATGAGTTTTGATTCACAAACGTGAGTTCATCAGAAGTGTTTATTAAGTTAATATGAAGTACCTTGGTGTCGGTAACATTGATGTAGGATACCAGGGAAGATGAAAACGTTTGCCTTCGTGGTCAAAAAACAGTGTGTCATCTTGTTTTAACTTCAGTTAGTACAATTCGAAATGTATCAAGACATTTCTATCGATTGTGTTTTGCGCGTTGTCTTTCCTTTTTTAGTTCAAGCCACATAACTGACTGACATTAACTGCAATTTTCTTCAAAGCAGTTTTGTCTGAATGCAGTAGGCGTTGTTATGTCATCATTTTCAACTATGCACTTACCCATTTCCGTTTTTTTGAGTAAATCTAAATTGTTGTCCAACAGGGCGCCTTCGCCAACCAAAAAGGAGGATGACAAGAGTAAACAAGGAGTTAAACGGAAATCAGGAGCCTCGAAAGATGGGGCTGAAAAAGATCAGGGCAGAGTGAAGAGCCAAACACGACCCGGTGCGCACAGTGGGACCAGCAGGTCAGATCTAAAAATATAAATGTGGAACTTGTCAAATAAAACAATTAAAGCACCCTCATATCCTTCAACGGTACCAGTGAGCAAAAAAAGTATTCCTCCCACTTCTTGGCCCAGTTCCAGTTCCAGTAGCGGCTCGGGTTCAAGTAATGGCTCATCCACAAGCTCCTCCGGTTCTTCGAGCTCCCGCTCATCTTCGTCGTCGCCAAGCCCCAACCGACAACGACCCAACCGACGACGCTCCCTCTCAAAGTACAAAATTCCCAGTTATATTTTAAACTAAGCAAACAGTGACTCCATTTACATTTGAAGAGAATATCGGAACTCTTCCACAACAAATCAAAATGATCTTATTGCAGTGTATTTGGAACAAAATAACAGGAGTGGATATTTGCTGACTACAGACCCAAAGTGATCAAGAAAGATGATCGGGAACGGCGGAAGAAGAGTCCCGCTCCAAAACCCACCAAGGTCTATCTGGGCCGACTAACAAGGAATGTCATCAAGGTGAATGCACCAACACTTTGGAAAACTCTGGTTGAGCTACACAGGAACAGGAAACCTCTACGGTTACTCAAGAAACTAAAGAGTAAACATAAAAACAAATCTGCCTTTACATGGAGAGGCCACGATCTTTCGAGTGCTTTGTAGCATGCCTGCATCACAGAATTTGAGTATTCTTGCTTTTCTTGTGTGGGTTTTTTTTTTCATTGAAGACTCGAAATTGCGACCAAAAAAAAAAAAAATGATGTCGCAAGGTTTATCTGTGATGACACGACAGTTGAGTTAAAGGATAAAAGAGCTAAGCATTCTTTCCTAAGTAGTCAAGCGGGCACTGGATGTGATGGCCGGTTGTGTATTTAGTCTTTGAAAAATAGTGTCGGATATTCATGTAGTACTTCAAATAAGCATTGGTTCAGCCCACTGAGTAATTTCTCTTTGTCTTTGATGAATTTGGGGTTCTGTGACAACATATGCTGTGGAAAAAGTCACTGAACCATTGATCCTTTAAGTGTGAGACGTTAATTTGGATTTGGAAAAAGTGAGTGAGTGCTGTGACTGTCTCTTTGCCGTGTGAAGGAACACATCCAGGAGATCTTCTCCACCTATGGCAAGATCAAGATGATCGACATGCCCATGAACCGCGTTCACCCTCATCTGTCCAAGGGCTATGCGTACATCGAGTTTGAGACCTCCGAGGAAGCCGAGAAGGCTCTCAAACACATGGATGGAGGTAGAGGATGCTGTGGTGGGCTTGAAAGGCTGGACCGATGTTAATTCACCTTCTGGCCTTGTTTTATTTTTACTCTGCTTTCAGCTTGCTGGTGGCTATTTTTGGGCCATATATGTTGTTTGTAAAAAAAAAAAAAAAAAAAAAAATCAAGCAAGGTCCAGAGAGCGAATGGGATTTTTCCTTTTTTTTTTAAATCTTCCCAGGACAGATTGACGGTCAGGAGATTACAGTCATAGCCGTTCTGACACCTACAGTGCGCGCCCCACCTCGGAGGATGTCCCCTCCCCGCAGAATGCCGCCTCCACCCCCGATGTGGCGACGCTCTCCGCCTCGCGTGAGGAGAAGGTGAGCGCCAGAGCTCAGGCAGGGTCACGCACCGTCTCGCAAGGTGATTCTTTTTCTTGTCATTCAGGTCGCCAAGGCGACGCTCCCCAGTCCGGCGCAGGTCCCGGTCACCTGGTCGCCGTCGCCACCGGTCACGCTCTAGTTCCAACTCCTCCCGCTAGAGAAAATAATTGCCCACCGCAAAAAAAAAAGAAAAAAAAAAAAAAACATGACACAAGAAGAAACATTTGTTGTGTGAATCCCTTTTTTCCCCCTCTTTCCTTTTTTTATATCACTTTCAAAGCAACATTGGAATACTGTGTGCAGCTGTTACTTTCCCCAGTCCAATTTTTTTTTTTTGATGTGAGGGGGCAAAAAGATTAAAGGCAAGATCTATAATTGCACAAGAATTTCCAATCTAATTGCTTTTGGGTCATCCCGGAGAGGTGCTAGTGGACATCAACTTTTCATTGTAATCATCATGAAATATACCGCTCTCTAGTGGACAGTTGCACTCATTTAAGCCACTGAAGTTGTTTTATACGTTTATGGTTGCTATGGAAATGTACTGTACCAAACTACATACTGCTGCTGTGTTAATTGATTTTTAAAGAAATGATTGTGATTGCTGACATTTTCCTGAAGTGTAGGGAATATGCAGAAAATTTATTCAATTAACAACATTCAAATATATAGACATTTCAATGATCCTAAAATAACACATGATAAGCGAATGCAGAAGTAGAGTGCGCATTTCCCATTTCATCTTATTGGGAGCGTTTATGAAAAGGAGAATGTGTGAGCAATTTATTAATAAATACAACCAAAGTGGCACATAATTAAAAGTTTGACATTCTTTTACTATCCCGCATTGATGAGTAGATTCAGAAATGTGAAGAGGCTTGACCTTGTCTGCCAACGAAAATCCTTTTTTAAGTTTGTCGACACCGCAAACAAAACACCAAGCCATCTTCACAAAGCATTCACAACTCTCCTCGTTGCTCGATCAAAAGCCGCCGGAACACAACCATGATGCACGCGGCGATAGAATAAATCGATAAAACCGCTCATCCAGCGACGAAGTGGAGGAATTTTTCAGTCAAAACGCCAACTGTGACAAACCTGACAAAACACAAACGCGGATGGGCTTGTAAATTAAATGGTTGGGTACCGACATGATTTCAAGAAGCGTACAATGTTAAGAAGCATTACCCAGACTGAGCTTGTCCTTGGTGGCCCAGCAGATGCTGTAGTGCTGGAGGAGTTGCTGCAACAGCTCCTTCTCGTCCAGGAACTCCAGTCGTTCAATTCTGCGATGAAGATGAGCCAAGAATATGACGCAAGTTAGTGTTTTCTGGGTTGTTTTTCATTTTAATGTTCCTATGAAAACTGCCCCGGCGGCTTATTATAACAGAATGATGAATACCAACGTGTACTGTGACACACTTAAGCATATCATGATCCCATCCCTTTCCGGAGAGCGCGTACTACCTTGCCACATCTTCCTGAGGAAGCATACTGTAGACTGTCACCATGTCCAGAGCATCCGCATGATCCCAGCCAGTCCTGAGAAACCGATCCTTCTGCAAACCATTTCGAAAGGAGCAGTGTAATGAGAATTTTAATTGCTCGTATACTGATCGTTGGGTCTTTGGAGTCCAAAATTACACAAGCAAGTAGATCTGTCCTCTGCCCAGTTCTGAATAAGTTGTGAGCCAGCCTTTACACAAGATTACCTGAGAGTCCAAAGATCGGCAGACTTCGACTCCGGCCAGTGTGCATTGACGCCGCTGAAGGTTCTCAATCATCACTTGGCCAAAACGGTCGCTCATGTTCACCTGGACATGTAACATGCACACCTGCGAGATCATCTCAAGACTCACTGAACACTTTTGCAGATAGATGTTCAGTTTTGATTCATACTTCGAGTTATGCGTTTAATTTTATTAAAATATTTGAATTAAAATAAAAGTCAAGGTACCTCCGTATTAGGATTGTGGTTACCTGTTCGTAGTTGATGAACATGGCTGTGTGAAAGGTGTTTGCAGCCCAATGAACCAAATTGGAGGATTGTGCGGGTGTCATGTAGACCAACACACACTCTGAAAGCAGCAAAGCAGGCAACCTAGAGGACAAAATTAAGCGCAGTGTAATGATCATCCGCTTGTGCGCAAGTACATTTTCATCTTCAAGATAGAGATGAAACCCACATTTCATGCTCACATACTCTGGGTTAAGATGGTACTTCTTCAGTTGTTCATCCAAAGTAGCGATGTCTCGGAGGTCCGAGCCAATGATGCAATATCGATCTGAGTCAAGGCTGTGGGCATCTGAGGAAATGAATGCACAAAAGTACTAATTGCTAATATTTGTTGAACACTTAACAACATTGACATGAGCTTTGAGGCTTACCGAGTAGCAAGGAATCTGTTGAATGGGTTTCGATGATAGGCTTGGATAAGTGTGGTTTGGTCCTAGTTGAATAGACATTAGAATGCAAAAATATAACCGCGCTGTTGCTCAGACAAATCAGATCGACATTCGAATACAGTGACGTAGTGGGCCTACGCCTCCCTAAAAAGTAAAGTATATTTAAGACTAAATAAGCCATGTACTTCAATAAAAAATTGTTTGCAAAGATTAAATGCAAATGTATTACTATATACAGATAAAGACACAAAAATATTACCAAACTACCTGGCTATCTTACTTTATATAGTGTATTTTCCTGGCCACAACAGTAGGAAAGTCAACTTCAAAATACTTCTTGGGCAAGAGGTCTTCATCCTGTTACAAACACACCATGATCGCAGGCCTTCAACGCTTGCTGCAGATGATGATGATAATCGTTTGTACTCAGTAGGCAAGCAAACAGACCTTAAGTCTCCAGAAGGTGGTGTCCAATCCAGCACCAAGATTGATTACTTGACAGTCACGTTGTGTTTTCTTTATGAATGCATCAAGGAGATGGTTGACACCTCTAACACGGCCATAGTAACCTGTAAGATAAAGACAGGAACAATCAGTTTGACCAACACACTGGCTCGAGGTTGTCGACAGTTACTGATCATGGAAACATTACCTCTATTGATTTCAGGCGCCTTCCGTTCACCAACAGATCTTACAAAATACTGGATGTAAGGGTCTTTCCAGTAGCCTTTACTAATGGCAAACCTAGAAAGCAGACATCATTAAACCTTTTTCAAATAAACATCAGTGCAACCTGCACTGTTTATAAGCACACACTTCACCTTTTGCACGCCGTGGCATCATCACACGTCGCCCTCACCGCTTCATCGGAAGTATCCGTGTCAGTGAAGGGGTGCCGAGTTGCCATGAACGATCCTAAATTCAACGTTTGCGAAACTGAAATATCAACTCTACCATTGCACTCTTGTTATTCCCCTGCAGGAGGCTAGCTGCCAGGCTAACGACGCCAGCAGAGTATCCTTATTGCACAAGGCAGGGACAAATTAACAAATAAATTTAAACCCACTGTCAGTTTAACAGAATAACGTGATGACCACGACAGTAATCAAAACAAACAACATTCAACTTCACAGTGGAATATCATGCTTGCGGACGGCCGACTGTAATGGCGGTTTTGGACCGGAAGTAAAACGTAGGTACTTCTTCGCTGGTATTTAAGGCAATCGGTAAATGGATTTGACGTTCATTACCGCTCTCTGCTGGACTGGAGCGGCAATGACCCTCAAACCCGATTCCTTTTCTAATTAACTGTAAAAACAGTTATTTAAATACTGTACAAGCTCAAACATCAGTTTGAACAATTATAAACATTTCTATAGCGTAACAAATATGGTCTCATCAAATAAAAGCCCTAAATGCTTTTTTTCCTGCTATTGTGGAAAAAAAGTGAAACTTCATATCATTGAAACTATATATATGAGTAAGACTAAAAAATATCAAATTGAAATCAAATGACGATTCGGTGACGTTCTTCCGCTCCCCCGTTCCGCTCTCTCTCTCTCTCTCTCTCTCTCTCTCTCTCTCTCTCTCTCCCTCACTCTCTCTCTCTCTCTCTCTCACTCACACCCCCCTCCCTCCCTCCCTCTGTCTCCCCGCACGCCGAGCTCCACTTCACTCTCTCCTCTCGACAGGGAAAAAGCGCTTTGACGGATTACTCGACTCCCGACTCGCTTCACGCAGCGTTAGCTCTTCGGCTAGCGGGTGTCACCAACCAAATACCAACCGGGGACCGTCCGGCTCCGCGCGGAGCGATGAAAGGCCGCTGGAACCAGTGAAACTTGCCCCGCGTCTTCTTTCGCGACTTTCACGTTCGGAAATATCGCCAAAAGCAAGTTGGTGGACCATGCCGTCGCACCTCTCTGAAGAAATTTCCACTTCGGAAAGGCTAATTTAGAAGCTAGCAAGCAACCAACTATCGTTAATTGGCTTTGGGCTCAAATGGCTCGCGCATGTTTTCCCTGTCACAGCGATAGCTGGGAAAGTTGAAAACGGGCAGAGGCCGTGTGTGAACTTCATGACAATCCAAAGTCAACATTTTTTTTCCCAAGTGTGAACTTTCGGAGGACCGAAAATGAAGAAGCAGTTTAATCGCATGAAGCAACTCGCCAATCAAACAGTTGGCAGGCAAGTATCGCAAGTTAAGTTATTTACTCCAGAACAAAATAGCAACTGTGTATTCACCTTAATAGGACATTATACGGTGCTCACTGTGTTTTCTTTCCTGATTTTTCTTTTTTTTCCACACAGTCAAGTCTTGCTATGGAGGCTGTAAAATGAGGGTCACATGAATGGAGATGAGGAGGCTCGTCAAATTTGCTTGTTCAATCAATGGGGATTCCTTAAAATCAACACGCCAGTGCAGGACCCAACAGGATGATGTTGTCCGCTGGCCGAGTTTTTAAGTTGCCTGACAATTGTGATGTTCTAGGTTCGAATCCCAGCCCATCTGGAGTTTGCATGTCGTCAGAATGGGATGTGCTTCAAATCCCCCCGAGACCCTAAACAGAATAAGCACTATAGAAAATGGACGGATTGGTGTACCGCGACGAGTAAAGCAGATTATTTGATATACAGTCGCTCTTGTATTGTGTGAACATAATGAATCGTCCAAATGTAGTGCCAGCTTCTGCCGATATTTCAAGTCGTTCCACCTGTGTGAACAGATACATCACACACATATTCCTAACGACGTTATGTGTATGTATTATACTTTCGTGGATGAAAAATTGAAGCAGTCGGCAACATTCTCTGTGTCTCACCATCAGTACAACGGCCGACAGTATAAATAATATAATCAGTGTGATAGACTCAAGAAGATAAGATGAACCACGTTATGAGCATACTTTTCATTACTGGTTGACGTAGTTGTGGAGTGTGCCTCGTTCTAAATGAGACATGCATGCAAACTCAACCTTATCCTAAAAGTAAGTCATCCAATGCTTTGTACGTTGCAACGTACTTGGTTAGTTTTAAGAGGTTGACATCATGCATTTTGTCTCCAGATCTTTTTTGATCGTAAAAAGACGTTCACAGACATGGTTTGCCCTCTTGGACATTTTTTTTTTTTTTTTTATGGACAGCGTAAGTACCACCTAAAGAGTTCACTAAGTACCTTTAAGAGCCACGGCAGCTGTTATCCTCGTAATATTTGTTCATACAGCAGACCAGCTGTAAATTAAAGCTGAAAGGAACGTAATGTAGAAAGCAGAACCATGCTTGTGTGAGGGAGAGTGCATTGCTTTCAGGCACAAGCGGTCTCCTTCCTTCCTTCCAAGTGGTTGGTATGTCAGTGTTTTGGATGAGGGCAAGCACGGAACAAACCTTTTGTGGTGAAGGTGGTGCCCGCTTGGACATCCGTGTCTGCAAGGAGTGGCGAGGCCGTCTCGGCTGCCCCCTGGGTTCCTGCGATTGTGCGGCGGCAGAATTCTATGTCCAGCATGCGCCCTCTGAGAGGAAATCTCTCCTTCTGCTCCTTTTGCAAACAGGAAACTGCCTCCCAGAAAGAAGCGACTGCTTTCTAGCGAGAGAACGGAGAGTTGGGGAAGATTGATGCATCGAGTGAAACTGAAGTGGAGAGGCTAAGCAGCATGTCCTCTGTATGCGGAGTGTGGTTATTTCAGATGGTAGTCTGTGAACCGCTTGGCCTCATACTGTACATCTGTGTTTGCCAGAGTTGGTCGTAAACATCTGCCGTATAGGATCTAGTCACAGCACGTAAAGGTGTAAAGTCCGGTGAAAAGAGAACCTGAGACACAGCAATGTCCGTGAGTAAAACATGACCTTATTTGGAGTTGCGGTGAGGTGAAACTATGAGAAAGTGGTTTTCATGCGCATCTTTTTGGCTGAGAAGATCGAGATTGTGACAGTTGTTTAGGTCTTTGTCTCTGAAGACCAGTTATGACCACAAAGGAGCTGAATAGCTTCGATTGATTGGCTACAAGTCCAGGGTGTCCCCCACCTTGTCCTGGTGGGCCATTTGCCCGGCCACAGCATATTTTAGTTTGAGTTCACAGGTTACTTTGCGGGACATGTAAAGAGACAAATCGTTGAGAACAGGCAGACCAGGCAATTGGCAACATGTTTCAGTTTCTGCTAGCTCGGCGCATTTTTTAGCAACAGACAGATGGGACTCTTCAACTGTCCACTTTTGTCTGGATTTTCAAATTCACAGATTTTACTTGGCAAATCTATTGGGAAATCATTCATTTTCCTTTTTGTTGTTGTTATTCCTTCATAAACCCGCAAACACTAATCAAATGACATTTTTTTTAACGACCGGTATATCATATCTTTGTTTCAACTAACATTGCAAGTGCACATTAGTGTCGTTGCCGCATCACTTTGCCGATCTTGTTTGGGTGGGGTAATTTGTCATTCGGTTCATCGGCACAACCGTGATCTCACACTTCTGTCCGCCCCTCACTCATGTTCTAAATAGTTTTAGAATCTTTTCTGATGCCACAGCTCGCTCAGCGTAATGTAATCTAAAGTATTTCAGTGTCGGAAGGGCGCCTTCCTTTTGACTGAATGTCACATTTGAATAAAGAGAAAATGGGTGTTTTTTTTTTTTTAAACTGGGTGTCAAGAGACTCTGCCCCGGGGACAGTAAGGTGTGTCTGGGTGTCAGCTGTTTGTTTGGTTTGGTGGCAAGCAAAATGAGACAGCTTTTTGTTGAACCGCAAACGTTTGGGTTTCATCCAATTGGAATGGGCGAGACTGAAAAAGCACCTTGGTAGTTTTAAATTGGCAGTAATGGTGATATTTTATGCGTGGGCATAGTTATGTGTGTTAGTTCGTTAGTAATGGTGAAGGAAATACCGGATCGTGACGAACCAATTCACATTGTAGGCGAATTAGAACAGCGAAGATGTATGAACACATTTTCAAGTGAAACGATATAAACGACTGTTTCGTCGACCCAAGCCTTGATTTGTTGTTTCAATTAGCATTGTGTGTTGGCGCACTTGCGCAGGTTGACTGCTCACACACTCCGTTGCATTAGAAGAAACTCTATGGCCCGAGTCACTCAATGATTCTCCCAGTTCCTTTTTATCCCAGTCCAGTATCCATTACCGGGTGCCTCAAGCTGCCAAGTGTTGCAAACAGAAAGACCCTCCCTACTCCTCAGCCCGCTGATTGTGTGCCGCGTCTGCTAACAGAAGCTCTATTGTGCTTCCGGTGGCAGTATTCTCTTCCTCAACTTCCACTTTTTTTTCTTTTTTTTTTTGATAGTAGATCGCCATGGTTACCATTCCCAAGTGGCGTCCACGGTGGTCAAGTAGTCAGATGGATCCCGTTTCAAAGGCTGCTGCTTCAGTTTACTGTGATGGAGGGGGGGGGCAACCTCGCTTCACTTTAGGTCAGCTGATGCAAGCTCAACACTTGTTTTGTTTGTTGTCCCCTTGTCAGGGCTGCACTGGGCCAATTATTTTCTCTGCAGCATCATCGCGTTATTTTTTATTATTTGTTTTTGGGGAGTGCCAGGACAGACGAGTGTTGCTTTTTTTTTTTTTTTTTTAATAGCACAATCAATGATGAGTCAGCACAGTATCGGCCTGATTCCGGCCTTATTTCTCGGGCTTGGGTACTGGTGAAGGCTGGTTAATCCAAACTCACCCAAAAAATTTCAAGGGAAGAGTAAAATAGTCGTTGAATCACAAATAACTGACACAATAGCCTGTTTGCAGAGGGAGATTACAATTTGAGGTTATTATTTCAGATAGACACAAGAAATTTCTCCATTTTGTTGTTGTGTATTTTTTAAAACGATTGTTGGATTGTTGTCCACTAGGACATATGTTACTGAGCATCCAGGACAGAGATGTGCGCATCTTGCATATTGGTGGTGAAAAATCTGAAGGTTAGTGGCATCTGGGCATATTTTTCCAAAATATGTCAATTAATGCTCATGGCTAAATTTTACTCACACACACACAGAGGCATACTTGAGAGGTTAGAACGTCTTTTGCACTAGTAAATAGATGTCGTTGTACTAAGGGCTCAGTTTTTTTTTTTAAACGTTACATTTCCCTGTTGGTGTTTTGAGTCAGCTTGGAGACTCGTGGGCCAGATGCACTGTGGTGTGTTGGAAAAAAAAACAACAACTCATCAGTGGTGGGAAATTCTATTTGCAGCCATCACGAAGCAGCTCCCAAGGATTCATGCTGGAGCTTTCGCTCTGTATTAAAGTGTTCCATCAGTCCATCAAAGGGTAGTTCCATTCATACATACACCGTAGTCAGATAGCTCATGTTTCCTTGGTTAACTTGCAAATGTTTGGTTGAGAATGTCGGGTTACAGGCTCAGCATGTTTGATGACTCCATCAATTAGCATTTATACCAAACCACATAAACGCCTCGCCAGAGTTGTACGCACCAGAACAAGAAATCCCACACTGACTTCAGAAGTGCTGCGTTGTGTTTCTGTACATTATTCTGCAACTCCTCTTCTCTGCATGTGTCACTTCATCAACTACCCCCCCAAAAAATCCATGCATTGGCTTTACATGACTTCAGAGTTTGTAAGCCCCCCCCCCCCCCCCCCCGCCGATCTCTGAACCTCAGCATTTGTGTTTCTTTCCACGGAACCCCCGAACTATGCTCCCCTGTCAGTCTGGCAGTTTCTGCCTGCTCTCTGCCTGCATGTTTGTAATGGAAAGCAGCTGTCCTCTGCTCTGATGAGGTTACTACAGTTCATCAAGACGACAGTCTGAGGGAGAATTCGTGGAAAGCTCCGGTTACTCAAATTGCAGGCGTCTACCAGGTTTACTTTAGTCGGCGGCCTTACCTGCCTCGGCGTGTTCAGCAACAGGGCGTGTTTAGGGAAAGTGAGTCGCCTTAAAGGGCGGGTGTAAACTGTTTGACTGTTAATTAGTAACATCGTGCACTGAACACTTTATTCCATCCAAGGATTGTAACTTATTTCATTGCAGCTTGTAGCTCCAGCGGCCATTTTTGTCCAGTCACTGAATCACTGCAGACCTCCATCCATCCATCGATCCGTTTTCCATATCGCGTGTCCTCATTTGGGCTACGGGTGAGCCGGAGCCCATCCCAGCGGAATTTAGGCAAGAAGCAGGGTGCATCTTTTATTATCAGCCAGCAAATCTCAGAGCACGTTAAGACAAACGACCACTCGTGCTTAACTTCACACCTCCGTGCTATTTAGTCCCCTCGGTGAACCGAACGTGCTTGTTTTTTCATAGATGGGAGGAAGCCCGAGCACCGGCAGAAAAGCCACCCCAGCATGAGGATAAACATCCCTCAAGTATGATGCATTTGGCATCGCTAAGTTAGCATTTTTACAAAGGTTACGGTTGTCTCGGCAGTTGCGCTCGTTCCAACCAGTAGCAATCAACTCATGTGAAGGTGTTGTTAAGCAAGCATTAGTTCCTCCCGTATCCTCTCCCTTTAAGTGAATTTAATCTGTCTGACCTCACCAGGCCCAACTATTAGTCGACTAATAATAGGCTCGGGGCAGGGCACCGCTGTGTTGTTGCTCCGCGTGCGTGAGTCATCACATACCCACTGGAGCTGAAGCAACTCCCCCGTTTGAGCTCCGCCGTTTGATCCTGTGCCACGCTTTTGTCATTAGTATGTTATAAAATCTCTTAAAGACTGTTTTTACACATTTTTTTTTTCTTGGTTTGCACTCGTGTAGCCTTTTGATCGCTTGCGCCAGATAACGTTCCCACGGAGTTCAGTGTGCGGACCGGTATTTCTGCCGCGCGGTCCGCTCCTTGCACATGTTTTCATCACACGTAAACTGAAATGAAGTATGGCCCCTTTCTTGTCAGTACTGATCACTTCCTATCTGGTTTTCTTTTCCATCCGCAGAGCGGAGAAAACAGAAGTTCTCAGCGATGACCTTTTACAGGTAAACCATTAATCTGACTTTTGCAGCGCTGGGGCCGATTCTGACCTCATCCAAGGGAAAGGCTCCATCTGTTGGGTGTTGGCCATACTTTTTTATTATTTTTTTCCCTTCCAAGCATTTGACAAAAGCCCGTGAAGGCATCCTGTTCTGTATGTTCATGTAGAACGACGAAAGACACAAATTCCAAGGAGTTATTTGCAGTGGGTGGAGTTTTGCATCACAAGCGTCATACCCTCCACCCTACTTGTCCTCGCATACAACCAAATACCTCGTGTTGGAAAAGCTGCCCCTGCTCTCTAGCGTTGTCTCCAGCTGCATGCTTGCCCATCTCAGTCCTCGGCGTCATCAAATGATTCCCAGGCATCGTTTCAAGAAAAAAAAAAAGGATTTAAGGGCATCCAGGGCGGATAGGTACATGATGTAAAAACCTCTTGCTCAGGAAGCAGGTGGGGTTGACGGCAGAATCGTGGCCGCTCGGCAAAGGCATTCCAGCGATGAAGTGTCTTTGTGTGCAAGTAGGGTGTTGTCGAGGGTGCAAGTAAAACAAAGTGTTCGGCTTTGAGAAATCAAGCCGACAGTAACGCACGCTTTTGTTTTGTAAGCGGCACATCAGCAAACGTCACCCACGGAAAATGTTCCCACAAACATTTTTGCCCTTGATCCACACAAAAGTGCTTCAGCAACACGGATGTGATTGGAGGATCAAAAGAGGATGACGCAAACCCTTGGATGGAGGAATTTAGCCATCAATTTATGTTGTAGGTTTTAAATCCCTACTTGTTTAATAAATCGCGTATCGTCTTGGCTTTTCGGGATGATATGTCTACTGTACTGTTCGACCCAAGCATCTTTTTGCCCACCCACCCCCTGTTTTCCCACTGAGCTGCCATTCCTTTGCTGCTCCTCTTTAATAGCGGCTTGACCACAGTAGGAGGCCACAGAAATGCCGCGCAACGAACAAGGCGCCGACTTGCACAATCTGCTCCATTGTGCTCCTTGAAAATTTAACAGCAGCCCGGTAGAGTCGCGACCAACCTCTGCTTCACTTTCTCCTATTTTGATTCCTAAAATCAAATTGAGTGAGTCATGTTTTGTTCCCCCTGCCATTCCAAACTCGACCTTTCTCTTGGTAACCAATAAACAAATACAGGCAGCAGGACAGGCACCTTCTTTGTCTTTCTCCAGGTTTGGGATTCCCTAGCCTGGAGTACGTCATGGGATTGTCCCCCTTGTTTAACTCATCCAAACTGGTCAGACACACCCTGCCGGTACCCTTTCGAGGTGCATAGCAGAAATTCTGCAGTGGTGTTCTGTATCCTGTTTTGAAAGGAAACCATTTCCTAGCGATGCATAAGCCAAACACTTCCAATACATAGATTTGGGTTTTTTTTTCCTCCTCCTGCTGCGGCGGAAAGGGAATCCCCCTCTTGTTTTTGTGCCAAGTACGAACTGCACTCAGTCTGTGCAAAGTTACAAGGCTATATAGATCTTGTGTTTTGCGTGTGCGTTCAGTGAGTTTGCACTCGACCCAGCTGTTTTGGGAATGTCCGGGGGCCGCCGTGGGTCACGGCTGACGTAAGAGCGCCAGAACAGTGGGAGGCACGAAGGAGACAGGCTGGCTTAAAGAGGCGGATAGCTGCTGTGGAATTCTGACGCCGTTCTGTATTTGGAACACAATTGTCTGGTATTTGCTTGATCCTCCCTTTTGCATTTGTCGCCCTCCCGCTTGCCCCCCAACACCCCACGGAACATTGTTTTTAATTCGGCTTTCTTCCTTTTGTGCTGCCAGCTTTTGAGGAGATAAATGAGTGAACTTGCCAAGCGTTTTCCCATATCCTCTTATTTGGCTACGGCTGAGTGACGGAAATGCAGCGCACATTGTTGACACTGGCCGGCACCAGTCAAGCACCTGGCATCACAAGGACAGTGCACAGCTTCACTTGGCCTCCAACCAAAAAAGCTGGGACTCCCATCATTGACCAGCTAATCAATGACGGCATTATATCTCAAACATAGAGTGGATCTGTGTTGCCTGAGCCGCATATAGGAGAAAGCTTGTGTAACCCCAACGCCTTTTTAACACTAATGAATGCCTCGGCCCCGCTCTCAGCACAGTGACCGTCGCCGTGGCGACACTTCCGATGAGACATGTGCTTTAAAGATAACATTCCAGCGTTGCTCTGTGGGCTCAGCCCTATCAATCACGTCTGAACTCTGAACTCCCCTCAAGGCAGACGCAAATCAAATCTATGCTCGGAACCCAAACTCGTTGACGACAACAAAATGTAGTCCACAGATTAAAACCCGAATCCACATCTCCAAGGCCACAGATGCAAAAATGCAGCTCATCGGTGTCTCCGTTTTGAGACTCTAAAATCCAAAAAGACATTTGCTAAATATTTGTGACATCTTGTCGAACAGATTGAGCGGCGGATGGAGTTGGTGCGTGTGGTGTCGCACAACACACACAAGAAGATGGTCTCGTGTCTACAGGGACACATTGGCGCAGAGGTCGAGAAAAGACACGTGAGTCAACTTTTTGTCCAACCTCAGGTGGTCACCTACGCGGTGGCTTTTAGGACCAGGTATCGAGCCTGTTCATAAAATGGCTCACCGGTGATGGGCACTGGGTGATTTACTGGGAATCTTGTAGAAATGATCATTTGAAATTGTAAACAGAATTGTAGAGAAATATCCCAGTAGACTTGATGTTATGTTCTATGCTTTCTGCCCCCACACGACCCATCATGCACTACAGTCCGTACCACGCCTCTATACAGGAAATGGTCAGGTAAAAAAACAAAAAAACCAACCAAACAAAGAAGTATTCCACCTTCTTGGCCTGTTTACAACCACTTGTTCCATTTCATCTCTTGAGCTGTTTATATTCGCTTTCACTAGAGTCTTTGCATGAGTGTTTGGGTTGTGTTTTCCTCATTAGATTAGGGTTGGGAGCATACGTTTTGGATAACTTGCCTGTTTTCAAGGAGCTTGGAAAAAAAAACTTTTCTAGATTCACTTCACCTGGTCGCCTCTTGTATCCCATTGAACTTCAACTTTGCCCCCCACACCCCCTCCTCTTCTCAGAAAGCTCACTTCCTCTTCCTGACTTTGTGACTGCACCTCTTGCTCGCTCAATGGAAAGTCTTGAGGACATTTCCATTAGCCTCAACCTCACGCTTTTGAATAGAAATGCGGACTGTTTGTGTTTGAGACTAATCATTCTTTGCGTCTGCCTCTCTTCCACACAAACATATCCGCCACAGAAAAAGCTTCCCCTGACGGCGTTGTCCCAGGCTATGGTGGAAGGTGGAAACCAGCTGGGTGAGGACTCTTTAATTGGGTGAGTTGGTCATTGAGTGACACTCGAGTTAATATTCTCCTCGTCAGTGGCGACTGTTACCATGCAGGCAATTTGCTTCTGAGGGTGTGAATGATGAGGTCACAGAAACGTCATCATCCTATTTTCTGCAAAACGGTTGCCAAATGAAAATGCACAAAACAGGATGTAAAAAAAGTCTTGGAACCGTTTTGAAAGTAGTCTGCAGTCACATGTTTGTCTGGAAATTATGAGGAAGGGAGAGTGCCTCACCTCGTCTTCTAATGTCCGTGACCGCTTTCTCAACTATCTCACGAAAATGGAGGTCCAAAATCTGACAGACCACAGAGTTTGTCAGTTGCCTTCCCACATTTTACTCAGTGTTTCGCCCGCACTTAAAACCCCTCCTCGCCTCTGTACCGAATATGCGTTGGCAGGAAGATGATGGAGGTGTGCGGGGACGCAGAGAGTCGTCTGGCATCTGAACTGATGCTGCACGAGCTACAGATAGAGAAAGACGTCCTGGATCCTCTCAGCCAGCTTGCCGAGGTCAGAAACCGTAAATCACATTTCACGTTGTGAGATTTCGCTTTGCACGCGTGTCGGTATGGCGGTGTTATACTATTTCAAATCAGCATGGCACCTGTTTAAACCAACAACGGAGAGCTTTTGTCAACGCTCGCGTTTTTCTTCTGTTTAGGTTAAGATTTTCGATTCACAGTCAGAAGAAGTATTTTTGGTGTGTCGTTTTTGCTTTCTTGTAGGCGGACATCCCCAACATTTTGAAACAGAGGAAGCAGTTGGCCAAATTGGTGCTGGACTACGATTCTGCCCGAGCGAGGTCTGTCCCTTTGGATATGAAATTGAACATGATTTGAGAGGTCGTCTGTTCCTCACTTATGAAGGTATATGTTGTGATGTCATGGAGACAACCTGACGCCGTGTTTGTGTATGTGGGTGTGTGGCCAAACACAGATGGTTGCAGGCGACCAAGTCAATAATCTCAGGAACAAACACTCAAGCACTGACGGCCAAGGCCGACCTTCTCAAGGAGGAGGTGGACGAGGCCATGAACAAAGTGGAACTTTGCAAGGTATCAAAAACGGGCTGCCTCAAAGTGTTCCTTTCAACCACCAGTTTCCACCCGTTTCACTCTCATGCAGCTATGGAAGCGTCTCTCAGATTGCATTCACATGAAAACTTGTACAGCCTCGTATACTGGCAGATCAGGTGACTTTTGAAACAAATATGCGGGCCGGCTGTCTTTTGTAGTCTGCGTGGGTTCAGGCCAAACATTTCAACTGTGAAAAAGTTACCACAGCAGCGAGTGAACATTCCAAGACCTTTTGGGCCTTCCGACACCAGTTTGCTGACGCGCGCGGATGTCTCAAAATGCCCCGTCAGCTCTGGCGCGCATGTGTCTGGAGCGATTGAAGTCGGTCATTGACACGTTTTAGTGTCGCTCTGCTGCAGGATGCATGTCAGTTTTTTTTTTTTTTTTTTTTTTTTTGCCCAGGAAGAGTGAGAGCCTTGTATTTTCCACCTCATCATTTTCTCCCACAGGAGGATATTTGACTCACATAGTCACGTTACTGCACACGAAACCAAGTGCCACTTAAAATATTTAATAACGAGTACCCCGTTTTCCTTCTCTTGACTGGCATCGGCTCACTTTTCACCATGTGTTTCTCCAACCAGGACCAACTTGCCGCAGACATGTACAGCTTCTTCTCAAAAGAAGGAGACTACGCCTGCTTTTTTTTAACGGTGAGTTCAGTGAGTCAACCACGCTTGACAAGTGAAAAAAAAAAAAAAAACGTGTTTGCGTGGCGTCCACGGGAATGCCCGCAGCTGTTGTGTCACTTAAAAAGCAGACCAGGCTCGCTTTCCTGTTTGGTTTGTCTCATTCTGCAGCCTTCATCATTTTCTCTTCTTCTTTTCTCTTCCCGTAGCTTCTTGAAGCTCAGGCTGAATACCACCGAAAATCTCTCGCTTTACTGGAGAGTGTCTTGCCAACAATCAAGGCTCAACAAGGTAAAGCGAGCACCTGACGAGAAATCACATTCCGGATGTCGCGTGACACTATTTGTCGCAATGTGAAAAAGCTCAGTCGGTGTCATGGAGAATCAGTTCATACGCATATGCACATACACACTCGTTGCACCCGCTACTGCCTACCTCCATTGCAATATCTGACACAGGCGTAAATGCCAAACCCGTGCACAATCAATCCTGCTGACTTTGTACTTCTGCTCAATGGTTGACCCCACAAATCTGCCGCCTAGAACAATTCCAGGCCACACCGATATGACAATGGCATGTTATATCATTGTTTTATGTGTCGTTACAAAAGCGACGGTTGTGATGAAAAAGGCTCGTGATGAAATCGAGATGTCACAAGGTTTTTTGCAGCGCATGTGTCGTCATGCGGAATTTCACATTGTATGTTCAGATTCATGGACTGAGAAGCCCGCCTTTGGCACGGCGCTGGATGAACACCTGAAGAGGAGCGGGAGGGAGATTGCACTGCCCATAGAGGCCTGTGTCATGATGCTATTAGAAACGGGCATGAAGGAAGAGGTAATATGAAGTTGGCATTTAAATGAAGGATAGAAAAATCTGATCCCAAAATGCATGGTATCGGATCGGGACAAGACTCAGATTTAGACTCGTGTGATGGAAAAAGAAAAGTGTGATTGGGACATCGCTTATTTAAATGGAGTTTCTACCAAGACACTTTAAAGTTTCTGATTGCGAACTGGAACAAATTAGCATAAAATGCACAACTGCCAGCTGGGTCATGGTGTACCATTTCAAACTCTCCAGTTGAAAGTAACCCACTATTTACAGCTTAAATTGCAGGATTTGTCAATAATGTCTGATTTAGTGTAATTTTATTTGTGCTTTCCACTCTTAAGTTACCATTGGCGCTCCCTTCCAAAGATGAATTGTCCGATTCAAACCACCTGCATCGCATTTAGCAATTGTTTTGCGATCCAAAAAAAACAAACCCGTCACCCTTGCCATCAGCCCGTTCAAACCACAACAGATGTTAGTACTGCATTTTCATTGTTTAAAGATGATCTTGCCGCCAGTTAATTTCCCCTCTGCAGAATGAGTATTCGTATGCTCGAAACCTGACCACTCACCGTTTTGTTTTGCTGCCTTAAGTCAAACCAGTGCTGACGTAGCTCATTAAAACTCACACGGAGCCGTGGTCGCGATTCACAGCTCCGCTAGCTGAGCGCGGGCTTAAAATAGCTCGTTCACATGTAAGTTGCCAGAGATGAGGAGATGAGCGGATACTCAAAAGTGTAAACAGGGGAAACTTTGACGCAATTCCCATCGCCGGCCACTCCACCAGCATGATGATTGATGCAAAGGTGATGTCCTCTCGTGAAAGCAAATTTAGAATACAATTGTCATTTTGTCCTCCTGGTTATAATTCAGATTTCTAGCCGTGTGTCTGAGTTTGTTCAAGAAAAAGCGTAGGCCTATCCAATATCCTGGTTAGTCTGGTCTGTGCTGTTACAGTGTGAAGACTGCTTTATTTGTTTGCTGGCAGCGCACACACTTTGCTGTTGTTCTCGGGCACCCGTGACCGCTGTTGATTCATTTCATTCTTTTGATGTCAGGGTCTGTTCAGAATTGCCGCCGGGGCATCCAAGCTAAAGAAGCTGAAGGCGGCGCTGGACTGTTCCACCTCACAATTGGAGGAGTTCTACTCTGACCCACACGCTGTTGCTGGTATGACCCCCAAACCAGAACTCTTATTTGCTGATGCTTGCCTGAAACACAAATCTGAAATATTGGGTGGACGTGCAATTTCAGGGGCCCTGAAGTCCTACCTGAGGGAACTCCCCGAACCTTTAATGACCCACCAGCTTTATGATGAATGGACCCAAGCATGCAGGCAAGGGTCCTTATGTTGGAACAAACATGACATGAGTACAAATTCACGATTTCATTCATTCGTCATTCAGTTCATGTTTTCAACACCATAAACCTTTTTTCAGATGTGTGAGACCCCCCCCCCCACACACACACACACACAAAATCAGCATGTGTGACTTTTATGCGATCAAAACGTATGAACTGGCTAACCACAGATGCGAAATTAACAAATAACAAAAATGCACCTTACTTGCATGCAAGTCCGCCCCCCCACCAGCCCAGATGAGACAGATACTATCGGTATGTGTGTACTTGCCTGGAGCTGTGCTCTTTCTACATTTCAGTTTACCAGATTCGGACAAGAGGCTTCAAGCTTTGTGGCTTGTATGCGATAAGCTACCTAAGAACAACAAAACAAACCTGAGGTAACCTCGCCCTAAATTCCAACAATACTTTATGACATTGTCTAATTGTTATCGGTTATCTGATTTTGTTGATTTGATTTTGTTGACATGTAGGTATCTGGTGAAGTTCCTTGCGAAATTGTCTCAGGACAGCGAGGTCAACAAAATGACTCCCAGCAACATTGCCATTGTCCTCGGACCCAATCTGCTCTGGGCCAAGACTGAAGGGTGAGTAGGTGTCCATAATGATGAAAAGAAATATGTGGGTGACGAAAGATCCAGTTAACGTTAGTTTTCCGTCATAAAAATGCTAAACAGCGTTCTCTTTTTGTTTTTTTTCATCTGCGCACCCCAGGAGTTTGGCAGAGATGGCTGCGGCTACATCTGTGCATGTGGTGTCCATCATAGAACCCATCATCCAGCATGCTGACTGGTTCTTTCCCGAGGGTAAATTCAGGGTTTTCTCTTTACAACCTTCATTTTTTTCCCCCCGAGAAGTTTGGAGCTACCTACTTGACAACAGGGATGAACAGCTGTTTTGAGAATTTACATTTTTCATCCTAAAAAAGAGCAAATGTTCAGTTTGACAGGAGTTAGCATCTTCCAAGACTCACACGCACATCTAATTTTTAACATCTTAACAGATTTGTTTATTTTTTCAAATTGCGTGGGAGTCAAGTCCACACTAAGAGTTCCCAAGCTCCCATAAAGACAGTACTCTTAGGGGTCTTTTATTCATGGCTAAAATGTATTTATTTGATGAAAGACGATTATAGTTTTTTTTCTTTTGAAATCTGAAACACATGTCCTGGATACGCAGATACCCAAGAAAAGCGGAAATGACAACTTGCCTGCAGTCCTTGCACCTTATAAAGTTTGATGCGTACAGCAAGACTGCAAAAATGTTTTTCTAAATATTTCCTCTTATCTTTCAGATGTGGACTTCAATGTGTCTGGCATGTTTGCAATGCCCGTACCCTCATCCAACCACAACAATCATCTGGATTATGAAAGCGGCACGATTGAGAGAAAGAGACCAGGCAGCTTAGTGGGACCAGAGACAGACGCAAACCGCAAAGAGAAGTAAACATCTTCAGTGTTGTATGCTCCTTCATTTGTTTGAATAGCATTTCATGTCTGGATTCAGTACAGTTTGCTTTCCTGGCTTTGATTTCGCTTCCTGACTATTGGACTCACGGAGATCACACACGAATGTAATTTCTCACAAGTTCACATTTTATATGTAAAATCTTTGTTCTGTTTAGTAGGTAGTCCCACTCACACTCTGTGTTCTCACTGGATTCGAAATGATCCGTCTTCTGATGTAATCATTGCTTTTCTGATCACTCCTGTGGTGTTGTCTGTTTGTCTCTTTGACTTTCTTACCTCCATCCTCAACCCCAGTAACACCTCTAACAAGCACTCGGACCACATGCACCGTAGAGGCAGTACCACCTTAAGTAGAAAGCAGCACAGCTCACCCGCCTTCCAGCCCCCTTTACCGCCCGTGGAGGCTTCGGGGCAGGGACAGGGCGCCGGGCACGTCCCGCAGCCCTCGGCCGAGCCCCAACCGCCGGCTACGCCGGGGGCGGCGGGGCCCGACAGCCCCTATAGCTCGGCGCCGGTCCTCTCCGCGCTCGCTGCCTCTCAGCAGCTTCAGGCGCAGCACTCGGAGGAGCTCAGGTAAGAGCTGTTTGTTCGACTATGCTGCTCACTGGTAGGCGGAGGGACAACATGCCGTTACAACTCATTTTGTGTTCACAAAGCCCGATCCCTAGTGTGCTTTTTCTTTCACACGTCATCTTACTGCTCTTTTGTGCAATCTTGCCTCTGCTTAGTCACTCAATAACTAAATAAACTGTTAAGAAAAGGAGGCTGGACCAGCCAAGGCTTGTTCTCATTAGGGTTGCACATAAGTGGAGCCGATCTCAGCTGACTTTTGGCGACAGTTGGGTCACACCTGCACTGGCTTCCTGTCAAATGCAGATGAAGCAACTCACTTAAGAATAATTAGCTACCGTGCTTCATCAGATATTGGCAAGTGGCATTTATTCACTCTGGTTGGAACAGAATTTTTTACAGGCCATTAGCTGTTAAAAGGTTTGTGTGGTTTGCCATTCAAATGGATGCCCATACCAGTGAGTGTTTGGGGCACAGGATCGATCGCTTGCTTCGCTTTACCGCTTCAGCTCTCTGTGGGAATACATAGTCCCTTCATACTAGCAGAAAAGCAAACTGGACCCAAGGTCTTTCAGTTACATGCACCGTCCTGTATGTGTGATTCAGTCTTGCAACACATGATGCCCAATGCACCTGCTAATTCATTGTTGCCTTCACTTCCCTTCATTAAGCAGCCCAAAGGCACGAGACCCTACAACCACATCGACCCCCCTCCTCCAACGGAACGGTTCTGGAGCAGGGAGCCAGGGTGCCGTCCAGATGGGCACTGCGACCAGTCCACATCTGACACGCCGAGGTGAGACAACTGACCCCATATACATCACCAGCTGGCTGACCTGCTGTAACAACATGGTACAGTCTAATGTAATGTGCTGCAAGAACTGTATGAGGAATTAAACTTTTGAAAATATATGATGCTTAAAAAAAATCATTTTAAGGGTGATTTGGTGGGGACATATAAGGGGAATTTACAATATTACCGCTCCCACATATAAAAGTTAGTAAAACACACTTTACCTTGGACAATTGGGAGAATCCACAATGCAACCAATGTTCTTCATCAATTCCCAGTCATCAAGAAACAGGCACCCGCTCCCCCCAAGCCACCAAACCCTCCGCCAAGCCAGCCCCCGACTTCAGTCAACTCATCCCAGCCCCTAAGCCCCACTCCAAGACCTCTGTCCGGCCACTCCCCAACCTCCTCCACATCCCCCAACTCTCAGCCATACAGCACACACCGGCGGCACTCCAGTAACCAGCCGCCGATCCAAGCCCCCAGCCATCCGCCCCCGGAGCCGCCAACGCACACCAATTCACCCACTCAGCTCACTGGGGATCCTCAGAGCGCAGACCCCTCGCCCCCGGAGTCCCCCACCCCTCCGGATACACCTCCGCCACCCGCCGCCCCCAGCCCGGACGGCCCTCAGGTTGCCCCCGCTTCCCCATCCCCTTACCAGACGGGTTCGCTCCCCCGACCGCGGCCTGTCCCCAAACCCAGGAACCGACCCAGCATACCCCCACCGCCGCAGCCCAATCCCGTGGCCAGTGACACCAACGGGATCTGCGCCACCGCTTATAAGACGATGGGTGAGCAGCTTTTCTAACGTCATCTTTTCTCTCCGACCTCGATTACTATTGGTCACATGTGCGTTGTAACACCTCCGCAGGGTTAAGAAGCTCGTGTGAGAGGTTTGTAGTTCACGGATGTGCACTTTTTGTCACTGCGGCCATTCGACACCTCCTACTGTCTCTCCTTCGCGTATCACGTGTCAAAGGCTGACACGCAGCTTCCATGCTGCACATGACTCATGAAACTGACCTGTTTGAAAAAGTGGAGCTGTTTCGAGACACTCATTTTTAATCTAGTCTGCAATGTGGGTCATACTTGGTTTTACAATTGTCAGTATGAGGCATGTCCAGCCCCTGACATGTACCGTATTTCCTCAATAGTGGCCAATATAGAAGTGTATGCGTAGCCTCCATTCTATGCAGCCTGTGTGTGTACGTGGAAACAGTATATACTATTTTCCAAAATAATAGTGGCTTTTTTTATATTAATGGTGGTCTCTAAGATTGAGTAAACAGCGTGCATTTTTTGTTTATTAAAAAAAAAAATAGACACTTTAGTGTTCACTAGTGGCCTCCAATCTAATAGATACCGTATATATTTTTATTTGCGTATCTTTTTAGATTATTTTATTATTCCCTCCAAAAATGATGGTCTCCACTTTGTATTAAAAAAAAAAACTCCACTTGGAGCAAATGGACAAGTGGAAGAATAAATACAGTGAATGCCATATCTAAAAAAAGATGCCTCCTCCTTTCTCCATAGAAAATGAAAAGCAGGTTATACCACTAAGTCGTTGTAATTTAATCAATTACGTTTTACATTTCTAGTGGTCAGAAAAATATTTTGGGGGTAAAGAGAAGTTCTCTTACCTGACTAACAAGTTCAGCTTATATTCAGCCTTTGTCAGAGTTTACTGCTTCCTGATGTGGTTTGTCTAAAAACAGCTCATCAGGCCAGGAAAGTTTTAAAAGTGACATTTGAATGTCACACTAGGAAGTGGTGGCAGCTAAAAAAAAAAAAAAAAAAAAAACATTTTTATCTAATTTGAGTTTCAGAAGTTACAATCACACAGCAATAATAATGCTCTCAATTATTTTAGTGAGTGTGTCAACACTGACAAAAATACACATAAAAATGCATTGGTGCAAAGAAAGACCTTCACCCTAAAAACACCTCACGCCCATTAGACACTCTCTGCACTTGGCCACTCTGAGGAAATACAGTACTTGCAACACATTACTCCAGTCACATCCATCACGGGCTTTTCTTTTTTCCCCCCTCCCTCATCTCACTTTGCTTGCTGTCACCCCAAAGCCAGCAGCGCCACCTACTGTTAGCACTCCCCATGCACAGCAGTGAAGCTCTTGGGGGGGGGGAAATGTTACTCCAGCTTCACTGGATACACTCGTAACACAACTCTGTCCAATTCTTAGGCATGTGTCACACAATAGTAATCTCCTTATCAAGTATACCGAATAAATGTTCAAAGAAGCCATTTGTGCACTTCACTAGGGCTACGAGTGAAGTGCGAGATATTAACGAGTAAAGTTGTCTAGTTTCACTCGCACTGCTAGGAGCATGAAATTGCCAACTTGTGCCGTTTGAACATTTATTCGATATTCTTGATATACATCTTGAAGTACATATGACAAGTACAGTCAACATAGTGAGACAAAACTGCACGAGTTGACAACTGCATGCTACTCAGGACATGCTAGTTTTAGTAGTAGCACCCAGATGTTCACTCGGGCACAGGTTTGCCTCACTAATAACATGTCGATGCAGTTGTCCTTGTTGTGAGGACATAGAGTACTAGTGCGTGAGCCTTAAGATGGATATCGAATAGATGTTCAAGTAGCAAGCATACTAGTGAGTAGAGCTGAACGATTTAGAAAACTAATCTGATTGCAATTGTTTTTTTCTCCTCGGTAAAAATTTAAATGCGATTAAATGTTCATGCCCTGCTAGGAAGTCAATCTTGTACTAGTAGCTGTATGGAAAGCTGCTGGAGCATTTAGTTGATATCTCTGATCAGAAGGCTACTAGTATGTGACACATGCTTACTCGTTGGGTCCAGTTGTGTTATTAGTGCAGCCCAGTACTTTATGAGTATGTTTTAGTCCTAGTAGTGGAACTAACACTACTAGTGCACTGCTGAATTCTCTTTACTAGTGATGACAAAGAGTGCACTAGTACATCAAGGACATCGATTAGATGCTCAAAGGGCTTTCTACTACACTCGTGCTGCTCCACATTTGCCATGAGGGGCCTTTTGTTTCGGTCGCGTGGCCGTGAGTTGATAGTTTGGATGAGAAACACATGGGCGGATTAACATGCGTCTGGTTGTCTTGTCTTCAGACCCAGCGATTTCCTTCAAAGGGCTGAGTCGGACTCTGGTCCCGGAGTTCAACGCAGACCAGCAACCGAGACCAGTCTCCTCGCCGCCGCCTTCCAGAGACTGTGAGCTGGACAGCGAAAGCACCGTCCTATAAAGGGAGGACGCACACTTCCTCTTTTTATACACACACACACACACACACACACACACACACACACACACACACACACACGTGTGCACATACTCCCATACTGTTCTACCGATTCTTTTGGGGGTGGGGGGCTGTTGTGTGCTATCGTTCCCAAATATTTTACCAAACATACATGCAAAAATGCTCCGTTTTAGGTTGTACGTTCTTGCCAAACTAAAATTGGAGTTAGTTGGCAAACAAAAGATGATTATGGGCTACTTTGAGACTTTGGTGTGTGATTTTTTTTTTTCTTCTTCTTTTTTTTTTTTTTTAAAACGTTTGAAATGGCCTTAGAACATGAAATGACAAATGTATTCTTTAGCGGGTGGAACCAAAAACTTAGCGGTGACTGCAGGTTTCCAGTCATCTCAACTTTTAACGTGTTTTTTTTTCTCCCCCTTCCATCTTTTCTCTTGCTCTTGTATTTATTTACCTACCAAGTTTAAACATACACATTCCCTGTGGCTCGCCACACTTTGTGCAGTCAGTACATGTAAATAAAGCCTTAATAGGATGGAAACATTGTAGATTTACTGTATGGAGAGCATTTATTGATATCTAGCTCAAGGCCCGTGTACATGTACCCCCTTTGTCCTCACTAAATAACACAACATGGTGAGTACTAGTCATTCTGCTAGCACACAAGATTTGTCTTACTAGTGAGGCCAAAAGAGTGTGCGAGTACCTTGACCTTGATAACAAGGATAATAAATAAATACGCAAACAGCTTTCCAAATACTGCTCTATTTTTTTTTTTGTATTCGTGCAGTATTTCCGAGAAGCTGTCTTGGTGTTTTCAGGGATGTCATATGAAGGTTGTCTTAACCCTCCCGTGGTGTTAAAACGTGTTGCGGTTCTTTCGGGGCTGTTCCGAGTGCAAGAAACGGGGGGTGAGCTGCCCTCCCCGAGCCTCAAGCAGTCAGTATTTTTTGCCTTTCTTTGGAGTGTGATGAATGTAAGCGGAAGGAATCTTTCTGTAAAAATGCCTCTTTGTCTGAAGCCGATGTCGCACATGAGCACAGGCCATGAAACCATTTTTTTGTACAAATTTTAAACTCCCCCCACTGAGCTGAGAACACGTGTGCCCTCGGTAGTGACGTGCGGGACAAATATTTTATCTAATGGATGAGATTCTTCTCTTTATCTTGTGCGTTCATGTGTAATGCAGAGGTCCAGTTCCTAGAGAATTGACACGCAAAATGGTACCAATACAGAAAGTTTTGGATGCTGCAGTTGCCCTGGAAATATGTGATTCCCCCCTCTGAGACAATCAAATGTCCCCCCATTTCCCCCTCTCTGCTCCTGTCACACCTTGCCTTATACGCCTCCCTACCCCTCTTCCCGACACATCAAGACCAACAAATGCCATTCAACTAGAAGTGATGATGCTGCGTTTTTAAGCTGCGTAGATTTTGTATGTTTGTCGTCTGGTGAGCTGGAATATGGAATAAAATCTGTTATATGAATGCTTGGTTATACACCCTTTCCAAAGAAAATAAAGTATATGAAGAACTCAAGTCTGTAGCGGTTCTCTCCTTTGTATTGTGCAAAGCTGATTTGTCACAAGAGTTTTTTTTTCTTTTTACCTCATCTAGAATTGACCCCACCTATCTGTCCCTTTTAAAAATCAGGTTTGCCCGCCCTTTCTCGAGTAGGATGCTCCAATGCTTCATGAAGATGCAGATGAGGATCACTCTCCTGACCGGTCATCAGGTATGTAAGAAGTATTACTTTTCCAAAAAATACTTGATTTGTGCTTATGAAGTGTAAAAAAAAATGTGCTGTCTACCAGAAGTGAAATTCCAGCATGAACACAGTACTGCATTTGTATCGCGGTGGCATCAATCCAGCTCCAAATAAAGACGGACTGTCAGCTTCACGAAAACAGGTATGTCAGAATTCTCTTCAAAGTGACACCATTTTTTTTTTCCAATGAGTGTGGCGCAAATGAAGAGGCGATACTTTCGAGCAGGATATTGTTTTATAGATCAAAAACATTGGTGGGTAGGGGTGGATTTATCCAAACGTAAGGGGTCAAACTATCACAGACTTCTAAAAACAACAGACAAAAAAAAAGTAAGGGGAAAAAAAAAACTTGATCAATCCAAGTAGAGTACTGTACGTTCATTTTGAAAATGGAGGTTGTTTGCTACCACCTGCACCAACATGCAACCGATTTAGAAACACAGTTACAATACTTAGCAGCAGTTCTGGTTGCGGGTTTTTTTTTTTTTTTTTTTTTTAAACGAGCGCTAACACTGCACTTTGAAAGCTGTGCAACACAGAAACAATACACTCCAGTGACTCTTGAACGACAAAATCAAAACCAGACTCTGAGGAACGCCCGAGCACTCACAAATGAAAACAACGAGCAGTGCATAGCCGAAATATGGGAATTTACAATCTCAATAACACATCACAGAGTAGAAGTACACCGCAGCTACTGGTACACTGTGGCTGAGGTCACCATGACAACCACAATAGCATTTATCATGGATCATTTACAGGTCCTTCCTTCGGTTCATGCCCGCTTATACAAGCAGGACTTTGTATTGTTCAAAGCCAGAAGCTTCAAGAGAATTAATCACTTCTGTCGTGACACCGATAGATGATGCAAATTCTTCACTCTTCTTTTATAAGACCAGATTGAGTCATGTGAACTGTACCGAAAATGGCATGAAGTAGACCGCAGTTGCTCCCTCTAACAAAGGAATTATATATAGATTTAATTTAAATTTTTATTTTATTTTTTTTCATGAAAAATTAGCTAGGTTAGCTCAGTTGATGCAAACAGTGTTTTCTCTAAAAAATAACTCTTAACAATTGACTCTTGTCCTTCACCCAGCTGAAATTAGTTCATTATTTTCCATAATTTAATGCAAATTATTTTTGCGGACCCCCAAGATACATCTCCTAGACCACAGAACCTAAACTATCCTGAACTACAAGATAACTCTCCATGAACATTCTCATTCAGGACTTTTGTATTCTCCCAAATGTTGAACTGTCATGGAAATGTAAACTGTGAAACCTCTTTGAAGCCGCCTACATCTTTGCTAAATCCTTACAAAGTGACAAAAAATATTTATATATATTTTATAATCTTACAATAAATATCTGTAGCTATCTAGGCTATCATCGGCAGTAGTTTAAATTACACGGAATGGTCGGTCAAGTGCTGATTTTTAGGATAGCTCCAGTGAGCACCTGAAGTGACATCTCTTCTCCACACGGGGGCGCTTCTGTTTCCCTGCATGGGTGCTGTAGAAGAAGTGGCTCTGCACTTTTTTTTGGGGGGGGGAGCGTCACCATGTGTGATTTTTGGCACTTTGGTTGTGGGGTTTGGACTGTGTTGCATCTACCAGGCCAGAGGGGAGGACAGTCTTGGACTTCTGGGATTTTCGGGGGTCTGAGTCTCATTGAGGGCTCTCTGGAAGGACAAATAAGGAACCTGTTTAGTTAACCACACACAGTGAAAACCTGCATATTCGTGACATGCTATTTGCAAATATCTATATTTTTTTTAACTACTGCAAAATTCACCCAATCACTGTATTGTGCTCAGGCCAAAATCATGTCTAAATACTGGCACCCGAAGTGCAAGATCGCTGGCTGATATACAAAGATACATGATGTACAAATACCAAATGACTTTTTCGAACAATGTTGACCCTCCCACATGCTCATTGTGATGCCACAACAACGCGTGAGTATGTGAGCGTGGGCTGTGGCCAACGCCAGCTCCTGCGTGAGCATGCTCATTGTGTTTATGTGCTTTTTTTTGCTCTCCCATTGTTCATGTAAACGCATGTCTATCTGCTTGCTTAGTGACGCTAATCGACATGAATGATTTCAACCCAAGTTGCCAAAAAATAGCACCAAACTCAAAAGTACACAAACTGCAGTTTGTTTGTTTTCACAAGAACCGTTGACAATTCGTTTGAAGTAAAAATAAAATAAAAATACTGTGGCCCCCTCCATCAAGTTGCCCATCCCCGTCGTAAACTGAGGACCACTTGTATTTTGACAGCCCAGCAACAAAAACTCAACTGTTTCGATCCACCCGCTCACCTCAAATTTAGAAACGAACTCTGCGAAAATAGCAAAAAAGGAATCGGTGCTGGTGGATTTGCTGTCTTCTCCAAAGAAGGAGGCCACTTTGGAGAACTCCTCCATCGCTCGGCTCTGCAGAGACTCCAGAGACTGTATTGCGGGGTGGCTGTTCTCCAGAAAACTCTGTACGACGACACGCATTAGGACATGAAATATTAACAGCGAATTCTCATCAACCGTGTCACGTTAGTGGAGGTTGAAGACGTTAACTGGCTTGGCTCATGTTGTGTAACATACACTCATGACAGAAGCAAAGTGGTCCTCAGAGGTGAGAGGGATTTTCAGACATGCTGCTCTGATGTCCAGGATGATGGCCTGCAGGTCACTCAGCTCCGTGGTGACCACCCTCTGGTTCACTGGAGAAACAAGTGACATTTGAAATTCTGCTCAAGAGGTTTAAAAAAATATATCGGGGCAGAATTTGGCAGCATGTTCTGCTCCTCGTATGAATTCAATGCGTCTTACCCTTGGCTGCCAGAGGCACTGTGGGGAGGTCTCTGGAAAAGTTAAGCAGCTCCGGGAAATGCTGGCACAGAGACTTGGCTAGAATGTGGAGAAAAGTAGATTTCCCGTCCACCGTTTTGGTCGTGCTGAGCTAGCGGACGCAATGAAACCATTAGACGCGATCGATCGATCCGTCGAGATGAAAGATGAGCTGGGGCCGTACCTCGGTGAGGAAATTGATCTTAAAGCTCGTGGTCCTGTGGCTTTTGGGTTGGCCGTTGTTGAGGTAATTCCCCATAGCAAGTACAAACTGTGTGCAGTCGAAAGAGAGCTGATCAGCATCAAAATATGTCAAACTGAAAACCTACAGAATGCCCATTTATTAGTTCCGCAACGTTAACTGTGTTCTACAGTAAGACTTTTTTTGGCCGGTCGCCATCTTTTGGGGGGCCCTGCCAGAACTGGCATTGTATATTCAGAATATAATACAAAATGTTTAAATTATTAAGAGCAAGTATATATAAGTATGTGTAGTATAGTGTATGTGTAATTTTACATGAATCAAAGAATGTGTGAGTGCTTTCACCTCGAGGATTTTGGCCAATTTTTTGCTGGTTTTCAGCTCCACTGAGGCCTTGTAGATGTAATCATAGGCCACCTTCATCTCTTCCATCCTCTCCTGCAAGGTGGTCTTGAAGTGGAGACTCCTCAGACGGGTCTTATACTCGGGCACCATCAGCATCTGGGACAGAGCACCGCTCCGTGTTTGCATCTCTTCCAAATTGTGTTTTTTTATCGTCAGTTTTGCGTAAGAGTCACCTGGAAAATGAACTGGTCGGGCTCGCTCAGTTTGGCCGGGTCTTGCTCAAACTGCTCGTACTTTTTGACTTCGTCCTCGTCGGGGGCGTAGAGCAGCAGCTGCTTGATGTGGGCGGGCTCCAGCCTGTCAGTGGTCATGTCCATCAGGACCTGCCGGAGCTCGTCGGGGGAGAGCTTCAGATGGGCGATGAGGATGGCTGTGAGGGGGGGAGGAGATCGGTAATTGTGGCACGAGTGATGGCTTGCTAATGGTGGAACCCTCGGGGAAGATCTTCCAGCCTTGAGGCGAGAACGAGCAAGATTCCCTCGATCGCCATGGCAACACCGTGGAGAGTTAAAAACACTTCAAATAGTCAGCCAGCGCAGAGCCAGCACGAATGCTCCTAAGCTTGAAGAAGCACCGTAACTAACCATCTCCGTTGACAAAAAACAATTAGCGCCGCGTGTGAGAAAAACAGCTGTGCCTCCCGCTGTCGCCATGGCAACTTGCGGCTTCCATCGGGAACACTTTTGCGAGGTGATCTCCTCCAGACCATTTCATTTCGTGCGACCAGTTAATGAAATCAAATTGAGTAAATTCAACCAAAACTGTTTTCTGTGCACTTTTTGTATTGGATTGCAGTCACTTATAATTATTTTATGTATTTTTTTATTTTTATTTTTTTAATAAAAGACTTTACTTACACGCATTGTAGGCTTTCTTGTGAGACAGAATCTCCACAACGTCTTTCTTTTTTAAGTTCTCAGGCAGGAAGGTCGGCTCTGGTGGAGACACTGGTAATTAAACAACAGTGTGAGGATGACTTCTCCAGGCACCGGGGATCGATAACACACACACACACACACACACACACACACACTCTCGCACTCCCATAAACAGTCAGACACACACATTCCAGGGTGATAAGTTAATAGCACAGTTCTGTCGTGTGACTCTCTTGCGGCCACGGTTCACTGACTGATGACTGTGATTTTTTTTTTTTTCTGTGGCAGAACTGTGTTATCATTGGACCGGAGGTGGGTGAAAGGGGGTGCCTTATGGAGAATGGATTTGAAGACAAGGCGAATGGAGAGCAGGCCTCATCTACGTGACTGATGTGACTGTGGAAGTGCAAGCAAGACAAGGTCAGTAAACACAGACGGTATAGTGACATCCAACTTCTTCGAGAAAAAAAACAAAGTGGGGCAATACGAGTTAAAAAAAAAAAAACAGCGGTCAAAGCAAAATTTCATTTTTGAAATGAATCCACGAATGGTGTAAAAACATTTCCAACATATAGTGTGAGGTGGCAAGCGCGGTGAAACGGTGACGACGGTACAAAAAGATGAGAAGGCCGTCCACCACAACTTACTGGATCTGCGTTGAGTACCAAAGTGCAGATCAAGGTCCAAATACTTGACCATGTCTGTGAGCTTGTCGTAGTCGGAATCCTCCCCGAGCTGAACAAAGAACGAGGACACATTGCGGGAATGTTCTTACTCAGCGCTCAGCGGGATCGTAACATTTGAGTGGGTACAAGCTGCTCTTTGATTTTTTTTTTTTTTTTTTTTTTTAATTCTGGTGTGCGAGGGTGTACTGTAGCATGCAGAGAGAGCCCACCTGACCCCAGATGGTTCCCTCGGAGTTCTCCACCTGCTCCCAGCGCAGCCTCTTCACGCTCATGTGGTTGGTGTCTGAGGCTTGACCCGGTTTAGGGAGTGGAGGTGGGTCGCAGGGTGGGGGCAAGGGAGGAGGAGGAGGGGGAGGAGCCTGAAATGAGAATAAAAGAAGTTGTTTATCATCTCGAAAATCACGTCACATTTTGATTCCAATTCAAATGTGAATAAGTTGTCAAGTTGTACAGTTCTGTTTTTATTTTTATTTTTTTTACCTCATCTTCAAATATCCTGGCCCACCTACCTATTTAAAAAATTAAATGTGGCCTTTTAGAGCAAAAGTTTGCACACCCCGGGTCTTGACTTTAAAAGTAAGTCAACTACCCGGATAATTATGCTTTGGCCATGCGCTAAAATAAAGACCTTAAAACTACTGAATATATCTCCAAATTTGTAAGAGTGCATCTCATTTGCTCAGCTATTTTTAAAACAGGCGCCTGCATTACTCATGTGGTTCTTTTTTTTTTTTTTTTTTTTAAATAAGTACAGGTACTACCTGCTGACACTCCGGGTCTTGTCTGGGTGTTTTCGTGTGGCTGGAGAGGGCAGAGTGAGAGCTTTGGGGTTTGCTAAATGAGGCGGCGGGGTCTTGTTTGTGACTCCGCGGTGGACTGTGATCTTCGATAGACGGGGGCAGCGGACCCTGGTAGCTGTGCTGGTGGTGGAGCTGATGGTGCCTGTGCAGGACGAGCTGGCTGGGCCGTAATGTTTGCGGAGACGGTAGCGGGGAAGGCTGGCAAATGGGCTGCGGTTGGCTGAGCTGGCGGGGGAGATAGCCGGGGCGGGACGAGCGCAGGATGGTGGTCGTGGTGAAGGTGGTGCGGCCGCGAGACAGCGTTTGGAAGCGCTGTTCGTCCGCGTCCTCCCTGGTGGGCGGGACCTTGTGGAGCGGGGAGCGGTTGGACAGGAGGGTCCTCAGCGGGGGCGGCGGAGGTGGGATGATGGGATGGTGGGGCTGGAAGGGCATCCGACTGCGGGGGACGTGTTCTGGGGAGAAGCGGACGGGTGGCACGGGATCCGTGAACTGGACCGGAGGCGGTAACAAGACTTGGAAGGGTGGAGGGGGTGGGGGACTCTGTTTCGGAGGAGGGGGGATGTGCTCGGAGCCAGAAGAGTAGCAGGGAGAGGAAACCTCATCACTGCTACTGTGGTCCTCACTGCTGCCACTGCTGAGTTGCCGATGCATGAAACTCGTGTCCTGATCCTCAGGGAAGCTCATCTGAGGGAGGAAACACGCAATCAGCTTTGCCAAACGTTTCTGTTTTTCTTATTGGATTCTTTCCAGTCTTGCGCCACACGTTTGCGGCCATTTTTTAACAGGGAAAACACTTGTTCTTATTGGGTTTAACTGTGGTGATTGACTTGCCGCTCACTGGCCCGATGAAGCTTTATCGAGTGTGGTGACAGTACGCTGGGGCATTTGGTGGCATTTTTCTTTCAGTCGGGAGACAAATTGTTTCATTTTGATGATGTCACCATGCGATACATCATCAATGAAGCTTCGAGCGCCGTCCCAAAAGTAGCCATGCAAGCCCAAGCCACCTCAGTCAACAGCAAGAAGATGGCCTCCCTGTTCCAATACTTTTGGAGTGCAGTGTACATGAACCAATAAAAGCAATGCTTGATTATACCGGAAATATAAAACACAATATTAGCTCATTCGCACTCTTGATTTGGAATACATCTCGTGATACTGTTCAGTGGGTAGCAAATGTTTTTCTTCATCCATGTAGGACAAAAAAAAAACCTGATGGAATGGGATGGAATTAAAAATGTCGTATCGTAGACGTGGATTTCCGGTCCTTTTAAGGCAGAAATACGACACTACCAACGATACGTTGATAACATTTTACTTACAGGCGCACCTCTTCTTCTGAAACCATGACAAGCACCTTGATATATCTGTTCATGTGACACAAGCGGTCATTGGGAGTAAACATTACAGACCCTCTCATGTCAACGTGAAACACTACAATGCAACATGTTCAACCAAATAGCAAAAATGCACGGTTAAAATAAAGAAATGAAAAGACAAGGTTTCCCCCCTCACCTCCTCATAGTCGTTCTCGCCCGGCACGTAGTCATCCGCCAGCGTGACCCGCTGGCCCAACTGCTCGCTGAGGGCATTGAGGAATTTGTCGGTATCCCGGCTGCGGGGCGGGCGGGAAAAGGTGAACAGCTTCTTGCGGCGGCCCAACGTGCCGGGGCTGTGTTGGGGAGATGTTGGGGGGCTCTCCAGGCTGACGTAGGGATTGGAGTCCACGCTACTTTGGTGGTGGATCCCGTAGACGTTGGTAGGGAGGGGCTCCTTCCAGGTGAGGGACAAGCCTGACTTCCGGTTGCCTGTTTCCAATTTACCATCATATGGTCGCATGATGAAAGAAGATTACAAAAAAAAAAATAATCATAAAATGGGTGCGGGATGTCATGTTTTCTTGTAAACTGATGATGCTCTAATCTGTTTTTTTCCTCAAATAGCGATGACAAAAAAAAAAACAAGTGACGAAGATACATTGGGCCGTGATGCTCACATGAGTGTTTTGATGATGTAACAATGACACATCGGTCATTTGCCATCGCGGCCCAACCAAATTAGAAGAGAACGCGATCTTGATGGCGACTGAAGCACTTTTGGAGTGCGCGCGTCCGAGAGCGCGTGGACGGACGGAGATTGCGGTGGGTGTTTTGGAGTACCTTTGAGAGGGGGAAGCGTGAGGGGGGAGAGAGAGCGGCCGTAAGCCTCAGTCTGTCCCGGCCCCTCGGACTCCGCTGGGGCGCCCCCATGCAACGGAGACACGCTCTTCCCTGCGTACACGTTCTCCAGCTCCGTGTACACGCCTGACATCTATGAGTGGAGGCGTGATTAGCGCACGTTGGGCGGTACTCTACTTTGAAGGTCCGCCGCTTCTTCAGTCAAATTGATCGTAAGCTGCTGTTAGCGGCTGACCTTCAAATGACACAAGAGCACAGCATGGCGAGCTTTTGTTCATGCCACCGCAGGCGTTGTACCTACATGACTGAGGTCAGGAGACTCGGGGAAGGAGGTTCCGTCTCCCGACTGCCTCTCCTCCTGGCTGCCACATTCATCCACATGAATTCCTGAAGCACAATAAAGCATGAGGAGTGACACTGTCTTGCATCCTTCCCCAGATGAGAGGAGAGAGGATGAAGAGTAGCGCGGAGGAGCGAAAGGCGGATGCTGGAAAAGCGAAGCGGACAATCATGAGCGATGCAACAAAGGGAATATTTTCGCTAGCGACTGACAAGGTAAAAAAAAATACACATGTTGGCTGCACTCCAAATGTCGAGGCAACAAACTTTGCTGTTGTGAAAATCGGCTTTCCCGATTTTCACAACAAAGAAATGAGTTTGCGTCACAACGTGCGGCGCTTTGTGGCGCTCACTAACATTGTCGCCATAAATGTCAGTCATTTATATTTTCAAGTTTTTCCAACTTAACCCTTTCATGCACCAATAATGATCACCTGTAACCTGATAACATGAGAACCTGTCCCTGAAAGGGTTGAATTACAGTTTTTAGGCCCCCAAAAATACAAGTTTTTTTTTTCTTTTTACAGTGTGGTCACTACAAAATGCAAAAAGGTGAGCAAAACCAAAAATATTAACATTTATATTTTTGTTCCTTATAATAAAGGTGTTTTTTTTTTCTTCTTAGCAATTGCCTAGCTCATCTGCTGGTACGATGGGCTTTTGCATGCCATTCCTGGTGGCATTGCAGCGTACCCATTCCCAGGTGAGTTCCGATGATGCAGTCGTCAGAACTCCTCTCTCGCACGCAGCCGCGATACGATGTCCCAGATATTCGCACCGAACTGCTTCTCCGGTGGTGCTCCGAACTGGCTTCGGGCTCTAATACGGCTGCAGCAAAACATACACACACACAGTAAACAAATACAAATCATTGAAACAGTAATTACCCTTTCACCCCCGGGCCAATCACGGAGGTGAAAATAATATGAGAGCGAGTGGCTTGTTCCACTTAAATAGTTGCTTATCCAAATGCTTCAGCTCACCGCTGCTTTTGAAACCCAGGAAGCGTGACAGCTTGCTTTGACAGCGTTCCTGCTCATCGTAAGTCAGCAACTGGTAAATAAATTGCCAGATCAGCTGCTTAGCCGGCGTGTCCAATACTGGGAATACATCTACTATAAGGGTGTCCACATTCCTGGGGGGGAAAAAAAAGGCACAAATACCACATGTCATATTTATGTAGACGTGTATTCTCAGCATTTATAACGGAACGGCGGATGAGGAGGAAGGTGTAAACAAGATTATCAAACAGTGGGAGGACATTTGTGTTGTTTGTGCCCTGAAGTGTTTTTTTTTTTCCTGTCCTATTTAGAGTCGAATGGCTGCTTTGCCTCTTGTCACGTTTGCATCACAAGGACACAAACAATAAATAGAAGTCGGGTATCTTCACTGTAAATTTCATTTGCTAACACTGTAAAAATCACAACTTGTGGGGTAATTTTTGTAATTTCAGTTGGAACAGCTTGAAAATGTAAATTATTGACATTTATGGCAATGATGTTAGCGACCACAACAAAGTAAGCGAGTTTGCGACAAAACAATTTGCCGAGTTGTTTTTACTTCTATCTTTAAGTTGGGAGACGATACAAGGGACAAAGAGCCTCCTCGTTGCTTTCCCCGTGTATTCTATATTTGTACCCCCTCTTTTTCTTGCCTGCAACATCATCACCAGTCTTGTGAACTCTACTGTACAGTTTCCTAGGCAACAGCAACTCTTCTTTCAGTGCTTGTCAATGTATGCCAATCAGATAACTTTTTTTTTTAACGCTTTTGCTCTTTTTTGGGGGGAGGTTCAAGGAGAATTTTCAAGTGATATGCTGACCTGTGCTGAAAGAAGGTCTCCAGGGCCTTGCAGACAGTGTACCGTTCCTGGATTGTCAATAAGTGGTCCAGCTGCTGGCCGAATGTCCGCCCGTGGACTTTGATGCTTGGCGGAAGGATCTCTGCCACCCACTGGAGGGAGCTGAGGACAGGAGATCTAAGCAGCAAGGCACATTTTCACACTGTCATACTTCATGTGCTTGAACAAATTGTCCCCTGAATTTTGAAATTCTCACCTAGAGCGCGGCAAGGTGTTGGAAGACAGACTGGGAGTTTCCTCCGCTTCTGTCGGGTCTGAGGAGTAATCAGACGGACCGTCTTCTATAACCAGCGTGGGCATCGCACCGCTGCCCTGCAGCATTGACACCACCTTTTCATGGGAACAGTTCCTACGCAGGGAACACGGCGTAATAAACAGAAGGTGGGTGAAACAAGTGATGTGCTTTTAGTCGTACCAGAAAGAAAGGATGACTCATTATGTTTCTACAGTTCAAGTGTACGATAAGATCAATAACAATAGAAGTACCAAGCGTACTCGCTTTGCAAAAGTGCAATGATACTTTTTGTCATCTTTGGAAATGTTGTCATTTGGTTCGGAAGAAAAACATTTGCCCCGAGTGAGGTTCGAACTCACGACCTTCAGATTATGAGACTGACGCGCTGCCTACTGCGCCATCGAGGCTTATACGCAACGGCCCAACTGTGGCTTCTTGTACAAAAATAAGCGGCCGCATAATTGGGGAATGTAAGGACGGTGTTAGAAATTGAGCGTCAACACACGCCACAATAAAAAATACATATACTAGGATATTGATTATGGATGGGCATGGTTTTTATTTTAGAATGCGTGATGGCAATCGTCTGCATTTGCATGGGGAATCTGCGCGGCCTTGTGCAGCCGTGCTCTTTGCGCAAGTTACAGGGACGACGTGTTTATTACTTCAAAAACTGTGTTCCATCACATCAACGTCATTTTTTGTGTGTGATTAGTTGAAGTAATCGTAAATTATATGACATGGGCGCGCCTCCGCTACCGCTGCAAAGATTCGCCGGCTTCCCCTTTGCTACGGAAAGTCGAAAGAGACAAACTTAGCGAATTTCGTTCACCACTAGATGGCAGTATATTACTCACACTAAACCTTTAATTCGAACCCAGAAGTCAAAGTGATTTGTTGGACTTTGTTCCTTTGGAACGTTTGATTCATCCCAGTTCCTTGTTAGCCGTTTTTGTTTTGGAAATTAAGATGTTTTTACGCAATACGTGTGCGTTAATGTTAAACAGTGACAATGTAAACCAAAATTGAGCATCATGCAAATACTGCATGGGACCTCATGTTTAGGTGTACCTATTATTCAGGTTGGCCAGTGTCCACCGTTATTTCTGAATTTATATTCAGTTTCTCCTTTCTTACTCCCACCCGTGCCCTCTGTGATCCATTGGGCAAAAAGTTGACTACCGAGAACTACGACGCCTCCCACGAGAAAAGTTCTTCTTATATAAAAAGTAGTCACTTGCACGAGCTACTTACACACACAATTACCTTCACTCATATTGGAACTCAGCTCCATTCTGCCTACCTCCAGGTACAAAAAGATTGATGTGCTCATAAGTGATGTGCAAGCGCATTGCTGAATTGTGACATTTTGATGTCGAGCTGACACTAACTGTATAGTCAGTCTCAATGCAGCAACAGTGATATAATACCGAGTTCAAGATTATGACAGTAACAAAAAAAAAAGGCCTCTGTGATGGATTATCTAACTCAGCGGCAGTTGGCAATACACATCGTAATATTTGCAGTGAGACGAACTCGTTTCAAAAGGATGATAATGTTGTTATTGAGAATACGAAACCTGAGCTGACCTCATATCCAGTCCATTGAGAAAGAGGATGCGGTCGCCCGGTTTAAGTCCACATTCTTCAGCCGGACTATCTGCGAGGGAGATAATGCCCAAAAATCAGACACAAGGGAGGAGACCCAACAAAAAGTGAAGCATTAGACTCCAACGCAAACTTGTGTAGTTCCACAGAGCTGACGTGCACATCAGGATAATTGTGAGAATGGTGACAAATGTGCTTCCGTCAGTCTTTGTATGACACCCAACAAGACCACCGACAAACAATCTGATATCCAGGTGACATTTTGTGACATAACGTAACCCCGCTCCCAGGGGAAACTATTAAGCGTGTGCTGCTACCACATCGAGTGTCATCGAGGTGTCATAGATGATCCACGATGGCGATGAAAGTCACGCCAGCCGCCTCCACCATCTCCATACCATCCTCCATAAGGCCCACTGAGTCAACATGTTCTCCAGCACATGATGGTGGGAGATAGTGGTGGGCGGGAGCTGTGCCGTCATCGTGGAACACGCGCAGGAACAAGCGCGCACGCGAAGCTCGGCTCACATGTCCAGGCGGGGGAATTCTGCTGCTCTTCAGTTTCATTTTATAATAGGTGAAGTAACCACACCAAAAAAAAAAAAAAAATACCTTGACGTTAGTTAGTATAATATTGAATGAATCTCTTAGAATTGCATAAACATCATTTGGCAAAAAAATAAAATGGTTACTAGGAAACCAGTTCTTCAGTTCTTAAAATTGCAAAATGTTGCCCTCATGCACCTCAGTCTACTCGTAGGGCTTTTCAAAATTTAATCTGTGAGTCAAATTAGCTTCCCGCTACATTCATTATTAACAAAAGATGCCCTTCAAGCCCGGGGGCTGAAAACAGCAACAGACTCAGCCACCCGGCGCGTGCGCGCAGGCACCTCCGGCACTTGATTGGGTATCAAATATAAAGATAGAATCACACCTGCGATGACTGAATCGATGCAGACCGGAGCGTGACCCCGCAGAGTGAAGCCAAAGGTCTTCTTGCCTCTGTAGACGCGGATGAGCCTGTTTTGAGATTGAGAATACAGGTGAAGTGCCGTTCCGCGTCTTTTAGCACGTACAAGGGGAATGGAAAGATATATACGGTAAATGTTGGAGCTGGGATAGGCAGGTTGCCATGGAGATGAGTCAAGGCATGCTTCGTTGAAAAGTAAACAAGGGGCAAGAGGCCAAAGATGTTCTTTATAGGTTGGTTGTTGTTACATAAAAGTGATTGCAGATGGGTGGGTGGTGTACAATGAGGGGAGGGGGGGCGGGGGGGTCCACGAGGAGGGTGTTGGGGTAAGGGAGGCGCACCAAAAGATTGGCGCTCATGCAGCTCAAGGCCGTTTTGACTCCCCAACGTCAGCCTGTACAAAGCGGCTCATCACACTCCAATCATCAACCCCCCCGCGCCGACTGTTACATAACGTAACTCCAGGGGAGACAATGGCTTTGTGAAACCCTTCAAAATTACATCTGGCACTTTATGTTGCAGCTCCACAACGGCTGAATGGCCAACGTGACTTAACTCCAATGTGAGTGAGGCAATCTGCAATTTGGGATATTTCAGGTCATTTTTTTCTTCCCCTCAATTGGTTGGGGAACGAACATGCAACATTCACAAGTTATGGATTGAGTCACTGTGTTGTTCGGTCTAATTCAAAGAATCATTGCCTCCACCCCCCACCCCAAAAAAAAATACAGCACAGACCAGCATGGTTTTGTTGTGATTTCCTGCTGATTTTGCGCAAAACAGAGGCTGCAGCAAAACAAAACAGGATAAGGTTCAAACAACGTGACCTCAGATCTGTGGGTCGCCCGCTGGTAGCACAACAAAACCATGCTGGTCTATGCTGCTTTGTTTTTTTTAGTCGGAATGGTGAACTAAACTATCGTTTTGTTTTCTGTCCATTTTGTGAACTTTTGATCATCCTGATGCGGGCTCTCCCATCTTGGCAACATTCTAGTTTCATACTGACATTGAAGTTATATTTTAACCCTTTTGTGGACAGCGGTGACTACAGCGGACAGCTTATGATGTTATCAGGTTACAGGTTTTATCATTATTGGTGCACGAAAGGGTTAGAAGCATTTGTTAGGTTCCACAAATTACGATTTTATTTTGAGGAAAGAATCTATTTTTACTTGTGACATAGTTTGCTGCGTGTTGCATATTCGCAAACGTGCAACGGATGCTTCGCGATACTTTAATTGGTCTCAAATGAGCTCCGTTTCTCTATTCATTGTTTGAGATGAGAGCTACTCACCTCTGATTGGGTCCAATGGGAGGATGTGTCGGTACCCCGGAGACTGACTTCCTGTGGGCTCTGTCTCTTTCCCCCTCGCCCCTCCCACCGGGTTCGCCTCCGTCCCGGGGCACCGAACTGGCCCGTTTGGTCCCATGGTGGCGGTCCGAGTGGTCCTCGCTCCGGCTGCGACGGATTCTGCCCTGCGGTTCGCTGATGCTCTTACTGCGACGCAGCCTGTTGATTACGTTCTGGGAGACGGATTCGTCGAAGCGCTGTCGGTGCTTCTTGGGAATGAAGATTCTGGCCAACATGGCAGCATGTGAAGAAAATGGGAAGATGAGATTAGTCCACCAGCGTCGCCTCAGAGTGTGAGCAGAGTTGAGGGTCTACAATACGGGTCCAAATTGGATCCACTTAGAGAAACAAATGAATGGATAAACATCCAGTCTAATCTTGATATGGCCTCCAGTTTAAAGGTAGACAGGAAAAAGCCTTTAACAGACAAGTTGACAAGTCCTTCCCCCGTTGTAAAAAACTCTCAGAGAAAGCGAAGACTGAAGGGAGTTGAAGGAGAAGTCAAAGAGATGGAGACTGCTAGCGGGAGTCGGAGTGCGGCAGTGTGAGGAAGCGGAGCCTGAATACGGCAAGAGAAAAAAAGGTGTGGGAGTGAAAGAGCATGGGATTCCTCCTCAGCTACCTCCCTCTTTTTTTTTACACACTCTCTCTCTCTCCATCTGCAGCATCTCCCACACTTCCGCCCATTCGTCACCTCGGTATGAGCACAAAACAGGAAGCTGTCATCATCTTATTGACCCGAGACCTGGCCACATTTGCCAAATAATTGAACCAAATTGCTCAGTGCCCACCATCCTGTATTTTGGGGTTTTTTCCAGGAAGTAAAAGACAATTGAGAATAATTCGACAGCAAAAATTCCCCGAAGCTGAATCTTTTTTAACCCTTTCGGGGACAGCGGTCACGACAGTGGACAGCTTTTCAGGTTACAGGTTATCATTATTGCTGCATGAAAGTGTTAAACGGGTCTTCTGAATCATAACAAACATCAGAAGACGGCATTGAAGGTCATTTTTATTTTTGCCGCCCTTACCGCCTAACCTCCAAGAAATGCCACATGGCCGAACATGCCAGAAACCGATACCGGTCCACTTCCGCAACACGCCTCGAAAGCGTAGCAGGCAGTCCAGCGATCTCATAATCTGAGGTTTGGGAGTTTGAGCCTGGGCACGCGCACGCAAACACACACTTTTCCACTTTGTCTCCAGTCCAGTCATTAGTGTGCTACTGAACTTTTTGCCCAATGTCTTATCCTGGGGTCCGGGATAAAGTAAAACATATATACATTTTTAATTAGTTTAATGTCTATATGGACACCTGTGTATTAACTTGCTCTCACTGCCTTTGTAAAAAATTTTTTTCATTCGATTTTCTGTGTTTGCCTGTGCTCGCACGTGCACGTACGCGTGCGCGTGTGCATGAGGCGACGAGTAGCTCCGATAAACAGAGCCACGGGATTTAAATAAATGTTCCGCAGCCATGTAGGTGTCGACACCCACACAGCCCCTCGCTGTTTGTGTTGTCTGTGTCTCTTGTGTCATCTATTTGGACCAGAAAGCTTATTACAGTATGTCTCCAGTGTGTGCGTGCGTGTGTGTATTTTGTCTTTTTGGAAGGTTGATATTATTTCCAGAAGTAATGTGACTGATGTGTTGAAACAGTGAGCTCACCCCCCCCCCCAAAAAAAAGTTGCTTGCCTCCACTCTTGGAAACTAAACGAATGTCCCGATTTGACCTCATTTATCAAGGAAGAGAGAATCTATAATTATCTGATAGAAGCGTGCAGGGGTGTATTTCTCCAAAGGCAAGAATGACGAGCAGATAACTACAAAGAGCAGACCTCGTTTCATTTCATGTGGAGGCCTTCAGATGTGACTCAGAGGCAGGCGAGTAAGACTAAACTGTAAAATTGACTCTTCGCTGGAGCAAAAAAAAAAAAAAAAAGAGCAACGCGAAACAAAGTCCAATGATTCGTCTGTGTTCAAGGATAAAAGCAAACAATTAGGCAAAGGATTCTGTGACCTGCAACTTTTCATCAGAAGCCACAGGACGAGCACTGTAGTCGGCGTGACGTTTTTTTTTTGTTTGTTTTTTTTATGTTGTTGTAACAGTTTGCAATGTCGCTCTCCGTGGTCCTGAAGTTGCAGCATACAATTACCGCACTTTTTGTTCCCTGCCTTGGCCCCTTATAGGATCAGTGAATCTTACACAGGAGACACAAGCAACATCTAATTTCAAGAGTACATTTTATTGAAGCCATAAAAAGCGGGGGGGAATCAGAAAAAAAATTCGATCAGTCGGCAAGATTTCGGCACAAATGAGAAGCCACGACGACAACCAAAATTCAATTGCACTATTAAATTATCGTCATGGCAACAGACCTGTAATGCACTCTGTATGCACTATAATACTATCATGTGATTTCATCTTGACACCATGTCAGCTATGTTTTTGACACACCAAAAAAAAAAAAAACCCACAGGATCACATTTGCAGTGCTGCATTTCAACCGCACCTGCAGCCTCTGCCTAAACACTATCATTACCGACGCTATTCAAGAAAGGCAGCCCTGTAGAGCAGAAACCAGAACCGCTTTCCCCAAAAGCACTTTTCAATTCACGAATACAAAAAAAAGCAATAAAGATGTCCACTTTCTTCACACAATAACATCAATCCAGACATGAGAAAAGAGAAAGCGTACTCACCCGAGGCAATTCATTGTTTTAGCGCCGACCCATGGTTGCAAACTAATTACCAAAACACAAGCGGAGCCATTGAGTGGTCAACACGGTATCAAACACACCTCTGACTAAATGACCACGTTGTAGAGGGGGATAAAAAAATATATATATATCGGTGAGAGCATTCAGGAGTCCTTCACCACCAAAGTGTCAGGTGGAGACGGACCGCAGAGAGGAGGAGGACTGGAGGGGGGTCGTGGGGGGTGGCAAGGGGGGTAAGGGGGGCTTGGAGTAAGATAACGAGAGGGAAATACAACAGAGCAGAAGACAAATATCCCCTTGGTGAGAGAGTTGTGGAAAGGCAAATCACAAGGATGCCATTAGTCCCGCTAGTGCTGTAGACGCAAAAAAAAAAAAAAAAAAAAGTTGAATCACGCTAAAAATTTCAACCTTGCTTCAAATTGGAGAAAAAAAAACCCCGCCTGCTCTTTTCATGCTGGAAACCCTTCTTACAGTATGTGGAGGCTGGTGGAGTAGTTGTGGGTAACCAGCCAGAGTAGTATGAAAATAATTGGCAGCGTTTATTGGCTGCACTTGTGGAGGAAGAGCAATCTGTGGACAAAACTGTCAGGGGAATGGAGAGGGGAAAAAAATAAGACTGCAGTCTCTTTTGGACTGTAGACAAACAGGTAATTCGGGCTGTCTGAAATAGATTTTTTTTCTTTTCACATTAGGTTATTTGGAGTGATTCCAGTATGATGAATATCCTGAAACACCAGATGGACCGCTTCAAAAATGAAAAAAAAAAAAAAAAACCCAGTCATTCCTCAATCAACAATGTTTAAAAACCTGCAGCGAGACTGAGCTGACATCCAGTTCGTCAGAGATTTAGGGGTCTCTGTGGATTTAACCTGGGTGGCAGATGGAAGTGCCTCTTTCAGTATTACTCTGAATGAATCCCCGTAGATTATTTGAGCAGGACAAATCGTTTGTTTGGTGTCTGGACTTGGTTCGACACAACAGGGAGAAAAAAAATATAGGGGATGATTACTTTAAAACTCACTCATGCCATAACTGTTCTTGCGTGTCTCCAGCAGGTGGCAGAGGAGGGCCTTCCCTCCAGCGTGCACACCTGCTGCCAATGTTTCAACAGTTTGCCAAGCATTTAAGGACTGCCAAACCTCTCACCTGATACTGGAGATGAGCTGTCGATGGTCATCAGTGATGAGGATTTCGGGCAAGACGGAGGCCAACCAGTCGACATTCTTCTCCGCCGCGTATTGCTTCAGCACGCTGAAGAGTCTCTCCTTCACGTTGGGCTCGTCGCTTAAAATCTGCTCAACCTGGTGGTGAGAAAGTAACGATCCAAATGAGTGGAGTGTATATAAATGTAATAAATCTTCCGGCGTGTCTGCTACCTTCCTGTTGAACTCCAGGGCCTTGTATTTCCGGTCCGCTCTTGTGCTTTCCCCTCCGATCCGGTTATCCTCCATGCTGAGGCTGCCTTTCTGCCTCGTGCCGAGGCCCAGCACGCCCAACCGTAAAGTCCTCCCCTGGGACGACTTGATGAGCGCTGCGGCCATCTCGTGCTGCCTGACAGGGATGCCGTTGACCTCCATCACGCAGTCGCCTGCCCTCAGACCCGCACGGCCCGCCGGGGAGCACGGTGAGCAGTCCTCCACCAGCAATGGGCAATCTCCCACAATGGTGAAACCGTAACGGCCATCAGGACCTGGTACGATGTCCATCTGTAAACCCAAAATACACAATACTGGAAAAAAAAAAAGAAAATCGCACAAATCCATAAAAGTGTTTGTTTTATCACAAACCTGCTGGATGCGGGACACCACACCAATGCTGGGGGGGATGTTCTTCTGCGTCTGGGCGATGGCAACAACAGCTTGCGGACAAAGTGTTGACACATTGTGGCCTTCGATTTCCAACACTTGATCTCCAGCCTGAAGGCCGGCCAGTTGGGCGCTGCTTCCTTCCTCTACAGACAGGATGTAGCTTGGTCCATTCCCACCAAGCTGGAATCCAAATTCCTCAGGCCAGCCCTGGTTAGATGCCGGCATGCTGAGGACTGGAGGAGGAGGAGGGTGGGAGGAGTTTGTTAGATATTTTTCATTGAAATGGGGAAAAAGCCTTGAGAGCCCACATAATCCCCAAATGCCTCATATTGTAATCTTGAATTCAATTGGTGTTAAAAAGGAAGAAAAAAAGATGCATTCAAATAACTGACGTGACACAAAAACTGTCCATCGAATATTCCACTGGAAAGAATGCCGTCTTCTCTTCTGCCTACAATTGCCTCAAACTGGAGCCAGAGTAGATTTCTCCACCCTGAACCTTCCATATGATGACATACACCACCGTTTTTCCCGATCTGGTTCACAAAGTGCATATGAGCCAATTTAAATTGAGTCTTTGCAGAGATTGGGGACCTTCGTTACCCGAGCAAAGAAGTTCCCACTGCAAACGTTGAAGTCTACCTCTCTGAACTACTTCACAAAAATAGCGGGAGAATTATGAGCACACGAAAGAGACAATTTACATGAAATTAAAGAGAACACAAGAAACCACTCACAGAAATCTTTGGATTGACACCGAGAGCTCCGTTTGGTCTGGCGCAATGAAGATCTGCTTTTTTTGTTTTGCAAAAATTTCTTCATTTTCAGCCTCTGCGTCTTCCCAGGTCAATGTAGATTAAAAAAAAAAAAAAAAAATCGCCCTGATCACGCCTTGACACAGAACCCCATAAAATAGAGTCACAAGATCCAAATAAGTGAGGGCTGAGTTCGCATGAAAAGCAAATCCGGTCTTTTGATGAGTTTATGAAGGAGTCTGTCCTGCGTCTCATCCCTGATTCATCCCAGGGCCGAGATGCTCGCTGTGTTCATCAGAAAACTGGGACGCCGCCACCCGTGCACTTGATTTCCTTAATAATTCACTCTCCGAAAAAGGCTATTGTGAGGCCTCATTTTTCTATAAATACACCGACGTGTCTTTTTCCGCCTCCTCTTCTTGTGGCTAGGTGGCTCTCCGAGGAACTGCTCCTGGCCCAGAATCACTCCGGGTTGATGTCAGGAAGCCTGATGAGGAGGACTAATTGGAACATCAGCCTGGAATTCTGTTCGTCCTCGATTATGTGTGCGCACTTTAAACGCTTCGGTCCATTAAGAAGCAGGAGTAGCCATTCAAGACTTAAGGCTGCAGGATTAGATGGATTATTTGTGGGCTCTGTAGCCCTACCTCCATCTCCCCACATCGCGATGCAGCTTTAGTAGAAACACATGCTCACCATCTCTGGTTGGATATTAACCCTTTCATGCACCCTATCAACCTGTTAACGTGATCGACTGGTTAGCGTGCCGGCGTCACACTGCAGAGTTGCAGGGTTCAATTCTGGCACAGGCCTTCCTGTGTGGAGTTTGCATGTTCTCCCTGTGCCTGTGCGGGTTTTCTCCGGGTACTCCGGATTCCTTCCATGGTCCAAAAACATGCGTGGTAGATTAATAGAACACTCTAAATTGTCTTTAGATGTGAGGGCAGATGGTTGTTTGCCGATGTGTGTCCTGCGAATGGCTGGCAACCAGTTCAGAGTGTTTCATTTTTTCAAGTGATCATTTCATTCGATAGTTCTCATCGTATTTGGTTCTGTGATGCAAAAAAGGAATATACTGTTGTAAGGGCATTACGGGTCATTTCATACCCTACTCATGATGGCTTTTTCGTGAACAACTTTTCCATTCAATAAAACCTTGAAATTTATTCGGCAAACTGCTGTCACTTTACAGGCAACGAATATTAAATTACGTCGTACTGAAATCAACAATGAGTACATTTGAAATCAACAATATCAGTACAACAGGGAGGCATTTTTACAGGCAAAAGAAAAGATGCAAAGTATTTAAAAGCAGGCATCTCATACCTTTGTCGGCAGCATCAATAACTCCTGGACATTTTACTCTTTTCTTTTTTTTTCCAGCAACAGGAGCTGTAATATGAGTGGCAGGAGCAGTTAGCAACTAGATCCAGCAAGTGTCTTGTGTTGCCTTGTCGTCTTCTTTCACAGTGGATTACAGTAACAGGCACATCAGAAAAATCACACTCGAGCCATATGAATATTTTATTTTGCGTTGAGCACTTCATATCGGTTGAACAACTTCAGACCGAACAATAGATGAACAAATGTTCTATTATTTTTTTATTGATTACAGTCTGGAATAGGCCAATAATTCATGATTCTGATTTTGATGCAATCGGATTTAAAAATTTTTTTTTTCAAAAAACACAATGGAATAAACACAAAATATGCAGTATTCTGCATATAAATTAGTTGAAAATGAAAAAGATAAAACCCCGAATAGGTCAATAATTCGTAACACCGATTTTGATGCAGTAGGCATTTAATGAAAAACTGAAAACGCGAGCACAAGGTAACAAAATACGCGAGCGCATCTGAGCACAAAAGATTAACATTCTTAACGTGTCAAGCACTTAATCGGAAAATAAGGATAAACACGAAAATGGAAAATAAATATTAATGACATTATTATTATGATTATATTAAACACATATCAAATATCTAACGTTAAATGAGTAATTTTAAAATGAGTCTTGCCAGACTCCGCACAGTTAAGCCCCACCCACTGCTGTTAGCTAGCCACGCATGCTAAGGAAGTAGCAATGTTTACAGGAAGTAGACCAAACGTTAACGAAAAACCACGTCGATACCTGCACAACTTTACCAGTTATGTTAACGTGAGATAATATTTTTCAAATAGTTCTGTTTGCGCCTAGAGGTGAAATTAAAAAAAAGCGTGGACTGTATTTTGAATAAGCGTACTTTCTGATGTTAAACCTGTCCACCTTAGAAGTTTAGAATGTATTTTTGTTGTCATTTGTGCTTCACTTGGGAACAAAACGACTGCGAAATTTGACAGTGGCGATATTATCGGCGTTGTGTTGAGGTTATACGGCGAACACATGTTGAGGTAGTCCCGTGAGACATGGATTTCCTCACTTTGTTTGCCATCTACGTGACTGTGGTGCTCACGTCCATCATTTTAGTCTGCAAATATTCGGGCCAGCAACAAAGTCCATTTTCTTACATTTTCGACACCACAACAAAGGTAAGACATATGGGGTCTTTATTGACATTTCCAGAAATGAACTCTGGAGAGCGCTGTTGGAGTAAGTATTGCACGATCAACACACCCACTAAAATACTGTGTACTTTTTTTTTCCTCCCCTTCACAGTTAGTTGTACCACTTACTCCAAAATGGCTCAAGCGGTGTTTACAGTGGACCTCGCACAGGTTTTTTCACCAGAGGTGTGTACACAACGTCTGCACTTTATACTTGCACATCATAGACACGCATTTGATATCTTGTAATCACTCTCAAGACCATGGCCATTCTAATGTGCCACTTCCCTGTCGCTGCAGGACCAAAATGTTCATCATTCTGCACATCCTGTTAGAAGGGGCCGTATACGCCGAGTTCACCTATGAGGTTTTTGGTTTCTGCGTCGAGATGGGCATCTCTCTGGTCAGCCTGTCCGTGCCTTACATCCTCCTCCTCGTCAAGACTTTCTTCTTCTACCTTTGCATCAACAAAGAACCAGGCACCTTTTTTGTTGGCCTTGCATTTGGTTTCGTTATTTTGTCCTTCTTCACGCTGCAACTTTTTATTTGATACCATCTCAAAGGCACCGTGACCAAGAAGAAAAACTCGAGCCAGTTGAACATGTATCCATACGACAAGAGGCTGTTTCACCCGGGCATCTCTTGCCCAACATGTCACCTTATCAAACCTGCCCGCTCCAAGCACTGCAGTGAGTTCTTTGTTTCGGTTGTTCACACCCTTGTGGCTTTATCGAAAACTGTATTTGCATCTTATCCTTTCTGACTGTTTGCATTCATGCCTTTCTTCATTCCTCCTGACATTTTATTGAGAATTCAAACTATATGAAGCCCAAATGCACTTTGTATTTCAGGAGTGTGCGACAGGTGCGTTCAGCGTTTCGACCACCACTGCATCTGGGTGAACAACTGCATCGGTGCCTACAACATCCGTTACTTCCTGCTCTACTTGATCAGCGTATGCGCCATGTCGGCTGACATCGCCATCCTGACGGCCGACCTGCTGGTTGAAGCCGTGCTGCAGTCGGGGCTCCTGTGGGCCAGCTACATTGATGAGTACGGCCAGCAACAGCCAGCTGGGCCTCAGTTTGTCATGCAGGTAAAAATCAACCAGTGGCAACAAAACAAACATCCACTAGCTTTGATGATGTCATCGCAAAGGAGTGGAAGAAGGTTTGAGTGGCAATTTGGAAAACTGGTGAACTCCAGTGGGAGTGCTGGAAATTGATCGTTTGGTCCACCCATTTTTGTGAGATACTGCATAATCACTGGCCTTATTTCATATTGAAATATTTTCTCTTTTTTTTTTACCTTTGTAGCATCTTTTCCTGACCTTCCCCCGAATCGTCTTCATGCTGGGCTTCGTCGTCTTTGTCTTCTTGCTGCTCGCTGGTTACACACTGTTCCATTTGTTCTTGGCGCTCATCAATCAGACTTCCAATGAGTGGTACAGAAATCGCGGCTATGTTTGCCAGCACTGCCACCCGTCTCCCACGGGAGATCATTTTTGTATTGCGGCGTCTCACAACTCGAAGAGAAACTACTACAGCCGTGGTGTACTGCGGAATTTGGGAGAGATATTTTTTCCTCGACGACCTGGTGGAAAGAAAAACACTTAGAAGATTGTCACTGCGCTTGGTGTCTGTTTACATTCTACGATCAACTAGTTCTGAAAAAATAGTCACCCACACAAGGTCACAGATTGGAAAAATCCCCACGACTAAGGGAGAACAAATATTGAATTCCTTCGTTGTTGTGACACCATTGATCAGATTTTTAATTTTGAAGGAGAATTTTCTGTAATGTGTTCGGGGATTTCTATGTGAAACATTTTTTTTAATTTATCGCTTTAACTGGATGTGTTAAATTGTATTTTTTCACGATTAAAAGGCTTGCATTTGTAATTTGAATTCTTTTATTGTGTTATTCACTGATGGAATGATGCATCCACAACACCCAAAATAGAGTACCGAACAATAATCATGTGCAACACTAATGTATATTTAATCCTAATTGTGATTGATTGAGCATGTGCTCCCTGCACATATTTGTGCAATATCAGGATATGTGTGCACGTTTTAAAATGGGCAGAGAGTATATATAGTTTGAAAATAGAATCTTTTTAATGTGTTTACTCTGTACATCGCGTTTAGATTAGCCGAACGTCCAATAAAGGAATTTCCAAAATGACATTTTAGGCAGGCGTGGAAACGGACGCTAGGGGGCGGTAGGCGGGGCTTCTTGCGTGGGTCCTGTCTCATAAGCCGGTGCGGAAGTAATCGCATCAGCATGAAGAAGGGCTCACTGGAAGGTCAGGTTTTACATAATTATTGTGCAGTACAATTAAGTCCTTTGTTTTGCCCAAAAAGTTTGACTTATGGTCATGTTATAACTTGCTTTACAACCTAGGGCGTGTCATGCGCTAACGATATTTCCTGGTGCGGAAAGCGAACGGTCGTCGATTGCGCAACTACAAATTACGTGTTTATTTTGAACACTTGGGCGCAACTTGTCTAATCATGGCCGGGTCAAAATGCGTCCGACTGAGCGGCGAACTGGCGAAACAACTGCTGGCCTCTGTGGACAGCGTCCTGTTTGACTGCGACGGGGTCATCTGGAGGGGGGATCAGGCCATCCCCGGTGCCCCTCGAGTCATCGAGCTGCTCAAGGAACACGGAAAGAAAGTCTTTTTCGTGACCAACAACAGCACCAAGACAAGAAAGATGTACGTGGATAAAATGTCCACGCTGGGCTTTAACGCGAGCGAGGACGAGGTGTTTGGGACCGCGTACTGCTCCGCCATCTACCTGAAGACGGTGTGCAAGCTGCAGGGAAAAGTGTACCTGATCGGCAGCAACGCTATGAAGCAGGAGCTGGAGGCGGTTGGCATCCAGCAAACCGGTCTGGGACCGGACCACATCTTCGGCAAGCAGACCGACTGGGCCAACGTGCCTCTGGAACCCGACGTGAAGGCGGTGCTGGTCGGGTTTGATGAGCATTTCAGCTACATGAAGCTGAACAGAGCCTTGCAGTACCTCACCCGAATGGACTGTTTGTTTGTGGGCACCAATAGAGACACCAGGCTGCCTCTGGAAGGGGGCACGGCAGTTCCAGGTAGGAAGAAATCCGCTTGGATCTTGGGTTCTTTGCGTTAGTTTCCTTCACTTCTGATCTTTTCTGGCACTCGAGCTTTTTACACCTCAAGAAATACTTGGCTCTCTAAGTGCTGCCATCTTGACCAGTAGCGTAGTAGGCCTAAGTGTTCAAATTGCATCTCTTCTCGCTCCCGTCAGGTACGGGCTGCCTTCTGCAGGCAGTTGAGACCGCAGCCCAGCGCCAGGCCGCCACAGTGGGCAAACCCAGCCGCTTCATGTTTGACTGCGTGGCCTCCAAGTTCCACGTGGAGCCCGGCCGCTGCCTGATGGTGGGCGACCGCCTGGACACGGACATCATGCTGGGTTCCAATTGCGGCCTCAAGACGCTCCTCACCCTCACCGGCGTCAGCACGGTGGCCGAGGCTGAGGCCAATCAGAAGAGCGGCTGCTCGGAGAGGCAGGGAATGGTGCCCGATTATTACGTGGAGAGCATTGCGGACTTGCTCCCGGCCCTGCAGGGATGAAGGACTCTTGGGATCACTTCAGGTCCATCATCATCCAGTTGTCTCGGTTATATTCATGATTTATCATCTTTATGACACAACTACCATCAGCTTTTTAAGATTTTATACAGAATTGTCCGTTTCAAGGTGCTACTTGAACCGGTGAAAAAAAATGTCAAATCAGTTTAATGCCAACTGGTTTAGCATGAGCCGGAAGACACAGTAACTTTTAAATAGTTCTCAAATGTAATTTGATTCTGAATTCTACGAGAAGCCAAGTTCAGTGAGGGTATTTTGGACCACAGTCGTTAGGGACTTGCTGGTGCAGCCTGTAAATCACGAGTTAAACTCCTGTCACATGTTATCATAAATGATTACATAATTAGTAGGGGTGGAGTAAAATTTCCTTTATCCAAATCTATATGCAGTCTTTTATAAATTGAAATGTTCAAATCTTTAAAGGAGTATTGTTGAAAGCGTTCAGGGTTATTGTGTCAAACTGTGGTATGCTAACCCGGTACTAGCTTCTTTTCACAAGTTACAAATTAGTGTATTTTTTTTTTTTAAGTACTGTTATTTCATATGTATTTTCCGTGCAACCAGTTTCAAGAATACACACGAGTACCACACAGTATAACATTCTGAGATAATCGTGTACTTTAACCCTTTCAGGGACAGCGGTTACTACAGTGGACAACTTATAACATGGTTGTCTCACTCATTTTTGTCGCTTTTGATTGATATTGATCGATAACTAGTTTTAAAATTTGAAGTCAAGAATAATGACTGGTATTGTGGATTACGTGTGACAATTTGAAATTTTGGTGCAGACTTTAGCAAGCATCATGGAACTTGACGTGCTTGATTTGCTTTCGCGGGCCACATAAAATGATGTGGCGGACCAGATCTGGCCCCCTGGGCCTTGACTTTGACACCTGTGGCTTATAATGTTACCAGGTTAGTCCGTGAAAGGGTTTATTGCGCCTTTGCTTTGGCAACTAACTGCAATTTAAGGAAGGAAGTGAGCTGCAAAGTGGAACGGAGTCATGTTTGCAACCGTTTTCAAGTGCGGGGGGGCTGGCAAGTAGCAAAAATGCAAATTACATGTGCAGTTTGTTAGCCTAACACATAGTTGCCAAAGTCATGTTTTGCAAATAACCATGATCTAGATGAGTGAGAATCTTTAGAAATATATTTAAAAAAAAAAGCACTTTGATATATTTTATTGATCTTGTGACATTGTGTTAAAAATGACTTGCGCACTTTGGCTATCGGGTTAATGATTTTCTTTTGTGCGGGCCTCTTGACGTTCACACAAATATGCAACGCTGATCCTGATTAAAACAAAAATCTTAACGTCAACTTGCCGTGGTTTTATTTTCGTAAAGTCACCTTGATGCTTTCCCCTGCGGGAACTACTCCAGAGTCGCGTATCACCTTCTCGCCTGCTGAGAGATGCCTTCCGTGCCGTGGCTGCTTTTATGCCTTTTGTCTATTGTCCGCACTGAAGTCGGCTGCCAAGCGTGTGTGTGTGTGTGTGTGTGTGTGGAGTCCAAAAAGACTGCAGGAAAGGAACTCGGTGGAGCCTATCTCTTAACAATTTGTGGATCCACACCAAAATGTAATGGCTTCTTCCTTATAGGGTCAGAGGCATGAAAACAATCTCCGTAAAAGTTCGGGTGATTCGAGGATTTGGATTGAAGAGACGAGGAGGGGGTGGTGGGGTGAAGTGGGAGGTCTCTGGGGATGAAAACGGAAAGCAGCCAGGTGAAGCGGATCTCGGACAAGCGCTTGTCATGAGCACAGCTCCGTTCCGGCGCCGTTGGAGAAGGGAGCAGACCGAGTGAGGAGCCATGATGGGACGCGGGATGGGAAGATGTTGGAATCTTCCAGAAGGCACTTTGGAAGGAGGATGCTGCACGGTAAGCGTGTCGTTTCCTGGTTCTTCATGCTGAACTCTTCTCAGTCGTTCTGCTTTTGTCTCTCTAGAAAGGGGGCTCCTCGGATTCCCACCACATCCCCAAAAAAGTTCTCTGCGTCAGCCTCTCAGCTTCCCTGCTCCTTATCCTCCTGGCCCTCGGTTTGACTGGCCACCTTGAGTTGCCGCAACATCGCTGGCAGGTTTGGCTGGTCATATTTCTCAACCTATTTCGCATCGTCATCATCATCCTCCTCTTCCTCATCTTCGTTAGTCTTCACAGGCTGTCCGATTCACCGCTCCAGACCCGGCAGGGGTCCTGCTCCTCAACCAGTCTGCAGTCGTGGACCAGCAGAACGGCCTCGTGACCTTTTCTGTGACCGCACGGGCGAATCAGACGTCCACTGTGCTCTTTGACATGAAACATGTACGTTCACGGGAGCAACGAACGGGGTGTGACAGAGGAGAAAATGTCTGATTTAAATTCTGCCGTGCTTTAATTTTTTTTTATTTTTTTTTTTTAAAGGGCTTGGTATGTTACCAGCCGGTCCACCAGGAGAGCTGCTTCCTGCAGACCATGGAGACATGGGACTATGAGAATGTGCACTCCCTTCTTCAAGCATCGGTACACAAGGTAGCAAGGCAGTAAAGTGAACCCTTGAGTATTCAATTTATTTTATTTATTTATTTGTTTTTTTAATCGGGCCAAACAAAAGTAATACATAGGTGTCACAGAACCTTGTTGAGGTGATTTGAAGAGATTACTTGGACAAAAGTTAATTTTTGGCCAACATCTTCTTGAGGAACTATGTTGAAATGGGTTTGAGGAGCTTTTTTTGGACATACAGTCCCCTCCAAAAGTATCCTTTTGGAGAAGTCCCCGGCTCACGAGCGAAAGCGGTTCCCACAAAGTTGCAAGTGTAGAATTGTCCAAAATATCTTGCGGGGTTAAAGATTAATTCATAGTCACAGTATGGCAGTTGACTAATTCACACAATTTTTTTAGCTTGATACTTGTGCGTTTAAAGTGTGTTTCCACATGACTACCTCGCTGCTAAATCCAAACGGGTGGGGGGGGATGAAGAAGATCCTTTTCAAATCTCGCTCCTGCTGGATTCCTCAGAACATGTGATCCCTGCAGCCTGGGCTCTTCTTACAGGAGACTGCAGCAAATACAATAGCCTCACTGTGTGTGTGGGGGGGGGTGTTTTTTTTTTAAACTTCTCTTTTGGAGGGAAATACTGCCCCCACTGACTTGCAATTAGTTCTCATTGGGCAATTTGAGCAGCCGTCTACATAATATTTGGCTGCATTTCGATTAAGTTGGCTCGTATGATCATATTAGCCAACCAAGCAAAAAAGTTTTGTCTTGAATGATGTGAACTTGAAAGCCACGCCCACCAGCCACATGTTAAGTTCAATCCTCAAGATCTCCAATACAAATTTATAAATAGCATTTTTTGGAGTTGTAGATCACCACAAGTATGAAACTGCACTTTGTCATACTGTGAGGGGCCTTTCTAATATTTTACTGACCGTACTTCTGATTTTTTGATTTTTTTTTTTTCTTTCTCCAGCAGAATCCGTTCCAGCTTTCTCCAAACGAGACCCGCCGGCGCACGGAGTTCTTGGGAGTCCTGCCTGCTCGTCAGACTGATGCCTCTACCTTGGAAGAGCCTCTGAAGCTTCTGTGTCAGGATAAGACTATTCACTGGACCAAGAGGGCTGAAGGTAAGAAGTGGAGAACAGACCTCAAGGCACTCAGCAAATTACATGACTCTAACGCGAACGTATAGGAAGTACAATTTGGTGTAAGGCTTATTCACAACTGGTACGCATGCATGAGAAAATCCAAGCCATTTCAGTTTTGATTGATTTATTTGACACAAGTTTCGGTTTCTGTCTTTCTCAGGGCCGGGCAAACAGCGGCTGGTCTATTTCTGCATCGACATATGCTTTCCCAACAACATCTGCGTGTCTGTTTGCTTTTACTACCTACCGGAGTAATTCTCTTCAACAATCATCCTGGAAAAAAAAGATTAGGAGGAGAAACTTTTTTTTTTTTTAAAGCTCTATCAAGAATGATATCCAAGACGAATGCTGTCAATACAAGATTCATGCCTACAACCCTCCCTGGCTCCCCACTTGTACCGACAACCAGTGTAATGTCAGTGTTGAATTAAAAAAAAAAAAAAAAGACAACTGCGCACTTTTTTTTTTCAATGATTTTTTTAAAAACTTTTTTTATGGTCTTGCTTTGCATTGCACAGTCCCGATCCTCAGGTCAGCACGCTGTCATTGAAGGCCAGACACACCACGGCCTTCTGATGGCCACTGTACTCCCTTTTGATCTCGCCCGTCTCCACACACCACAGACGAGCCAAGTTGTCCGAGGAAGCTGCGGGGAAAAAAAACAACGCAATTCATTGTTATTCCGATGATCGGCGCTTTAACCGACGTGGGAACGTTTTGGTCAAACGTTCATATGACCAAACTCGGCCTACCCGTGACAATGTACTGCGAGTCCCCTGAGAAGGCGCAGTCCCACATCCAGCCTCTAGATGTCTCTCCAGGATTGTTACTCTTGATGCTCAGCTCGGTCATCAGGGAGAAATTGGACGTCCTCCAAATTTTGCAGGTCTGATCGGCTGAGCAGGTGGCTAACAGACTGACAGAATGAGAAGCACACCGTCATCGGTCACTCATTTGATGCCTCGTGAGGTAGGTTGTGGGTTACGGGCGTAGAATTGTCGCCGAGGCAAAGACTCACGTGGAATCGGGGCTAAATTTGCAGCGTAGAGAGTAGCGTTTGTGCGCTGGGATTTTGGTTTTGGGAATGAGCTGTGTCACCTCGTCTCCCATGCCTCCGGCCAGGTTCCACACGTAACAGTTACCCTGGCGTGGAGAACAACTAGGAAGTTTTATGAATTAAAGGCACAAGTACACTGTTTGTCTCCTTCCATGTAGATTTTAACCCTTTCATGCACATGGTAACCCGATAACATGATAAGCTGTCCACTGTAGTAACCGCTGTCCCTGAAAGGGTTAAAAGAAAAAAAAAATAATCATAAAGTTGAGTAACTGACCGAGCTGTTGACTGCTGCCATGTAACTGGCATCTGGATCGATATGAACTGCGTTGACAGACACTTCCGGCTCGGGAATGAGCTGCTCATTGTGGTCTGTTTTCAGATCCCAAATATGAATCACTCCACTCTGGTCTCCGACGATGAGTTCTGCCTGAAAATGCACATTTCAAGTTGACCAAAATCAACGTCAACGCGCATTTGTGAACATCCCACCTGGTTCGGATGCAGGCACACACAGTTGATGGGCGCGTTGACCTGAAAGATCCTTTGACACTGCAGATTTCTTGACCTGTGCGGGATTAAGTTAGTTTGACACATTCATTATTTGATTGTATTCAAATATTTCCTATTTATCATTTTTATCCAAACATTTACTGTAATTCTGACTTTGCTACTGTGTTAGCTTAAATTGGCAGACCACCTCCATCGTAAACCAAAGGACCCTTCTTACAGTCCAGTTATCTGGCAATGGAGTACCTCAGGTCCCAGATACGAGCCATGCAATCTTCTCCTCCCGTGTACATCCAGCGTCCATCTTCATGGAAGCCCACGGAGGTGATGTTCTTGCTTACGCCGTCATAATTAATGACAGGGTTGGGATTGTTGGAGTTCAGATCGTACATGCGGATATGCTGATAACCTTAAAAGGGAAGGCAACGTTTTATTCATGACATGCACATATGTATGAGGAGAAGAGTGTTTTTTTTTAAAGTAACTAACCTGCAGCAGCAATCATACTCCTGTCAGGTGTTACTTCAAGTGAATTGACTTGCTGGCAACAAGAATTATTAAAGAAACAATTCATTTCTCAGATTTCCAGTCACTGAATGGGAACTGAACCCACACTTCCTGCATGGAAGTCAATTACGTGAACCACGACCATCAGTGTCCCCTCACAACTTCATCATTGAGTACCAAATCATGTTGCAGAATGATAAGCACCAAAACGAAACCCTAAAAGTGAATTTGGAACTTAAAAGCAAAATAAAAAGGAGACGCAAAGCCGTATTGCGTTGTCTTCAACCGGAAGTGTGATCCCCAATTAAAGGATACAGAGTCTTGGTGCTGAACTGTTCGGGTGCAGATTCCACTGTGGGCTTGCCAAAAGCGGACTGTGTGGTCGTACCCGGCCGTGGCTAAAATGACCGGGTCGCTGCCCACGGTCCCCTGATTCACGTTCATGCTTGTCTTCTGGCTGCCACTGTCGAAGTGAGTATAGTTCACCAATACGTGTTAACGTTCAATTATTATGCGACACAACACGAAGGTAGTACAGCATATTTCCACGCCGCAGCATCCAAATGACGCCAACCAGCAGCTGACGTTCGTGCTGTGTTAAATGGGTTGGAACAGCAGATCCACGGTATTAAAAGCCGATATAGTAAATGTGCAATGCTGCATGGAAAAAAAACATGAATGACTGTATGTCTAAGCTTGGAAAAGTTAAAATTAGTTTTGATTACCTTTGGTTTTGGTCCTGCACTAAACCTGTACGTCTTTATAAATAGCCCCCCCGAGCAACAAATAATGATGACAAAGGTTCCGCTATGCTCGCGTCAGTGCTGCCATCTGCTGGCTCGTTATGTTATTCTCTCAAACTACCGGTATTGTAATTTCAAAATTGAGTAAACCTGCCACATAAATATGAACACATTGTAAATTATATTTTATGTTGAGAAGATGTTTGTCTTCATGCTAGCCTGCTTATTTGTATTTTTACATAATGTAGCAGGCTCCTGCTCACGGAATGTTAATTGTTCATTCTTTCAATGTCACACATGTCCCGGCCTTTCAACTCCTTGTGTAGATTGTCTGAATGTTTTAGAGATGTTTGCATCCGTCTTCCTTAACCAAAATCTGATAATACCTAGGATTAAAAAAAAAACAAAAACAAAAGAGTCCTGTTCAGATTTAAGAGACCAGACTTGATGAACGAACGCATCTTTATTTCACGGTAGAAGATGTAATGGTTTAACACCTCAGACAAATACAAAACAGTGTTGAAGAACAGACAGAATAACAACAACCTAAACACAAACTCTCATCGCTTCTGTGTAATGCTTGGAGGAAACGAACACTCGAGCTTCCACCGTGTAGTTGAGGGGGAGTTCCTCAGTCCCCCTTCAGCAGGGTTGACATGTGCTGCTTCACCTCGCCCGGGTCAGCCAGTGAGCAGGCCAGGACCACTGCCCGCACCCCACTCTTTGTCCTGGTGGAAGGGAGGATCTAAAACAAAAATTTCCACAAACATTTATAATGTGTGTCTGCACTGAATCTTTGAGGCGGAAAGTGAACAGCAATTGCACCTTCACATATGTTTTGCATCTCTCCAGAAGAAACTTCCACTTCATTGCAGTGCGCTCATTGTCGGTTAAATGAGTAAACTGCTCGGTCTGAAGCAGAAAAGATACGCTTTGTGCTTTTTTTTTTTTTTTCCCCCCCTCTGATTCTCGATGAGTAACTGTGCTGTTTGGAATACTAACAGTGCATCCCAGCATGGCCTCGGCCACTGGGCTTCTGAGGGTGCAGGCGTGCAGAGTGCCCGTGTGGTCTGTGAGGTTCATCATGAGGTCAAAGCCAGTGATGGAGGAGAAGACTTGACCCCTTCCTGGACACAACTGGTTGTTGCAATATTGCGTGCCCTCTGTCACCTGGAACTTACACTTGGCGCTGAGAGATGTGACCAAAAAAAAAAAAGTGGGCAATTGTTGCAATGAGTAACCCATCCCGTGCGCCCCGAGTGAGCATACCAGCGAGTCCTGATGACTTTGGAAACGCAAGAGTCTAGATCGAGTTTAGAGATGAAACTGTATGTGATGCCGTGGGACGTCTCCGGACTTTCCTGGCTTTTTTCCTTCAGCTGACCCACCGTGTACACGGCGGTGATTGACTCCACTGCTCAATCATAAACTAACATCAGTCATTAGGACATATGATGAGAAGAAAATGAAAATGTCGCTGTATTCCACCAGATTTTTTTTCCCCTCATAATTTCAAACAGACAAGATGTAATCCCAATTAAGCGGTCACTCCAGTGGACATCTTATCATGTTATCGGGTTACAGGGTGCATGAAAGGGTTAAACACTGGATGTATAATGAAAGCTTTTGGTGTATTCTGAGATCTTAAGTACCAGTAGTTATAGCCACACATTCTAACGTATCCCAGTGGGATATCAAATGTCCCATTAAAATGCAGGGGCTTTTTCTTCGAGTAATACCAAGAGTCAGTCAAGTCTTGATGCTAAGTTACCCTGCACATCCTCTGCCTTGTCATCTTGTTCCAGAGCGCCGGATTCTAACATCTCCGTAGCATATCTGCACAGCAAGCCAGCCTCTTGCGTGTCTGCCAAAAAAAAAGATGAACACAGTGCATGCCTCTTTGTATGGCTCGCTGCTGGACGACTTCCCCCCGCATAACTTTTTTCGACATGACTCTTGTTTAATTGGTAGCTGTTATGCTTTGGTGAAATGATGCAGTGACACGCTTACCAGGATTGACAGTGATAATGGTTTTGGAGTTGACTGCTGCGGTCATTCCATTGCGGAAGCTGTCAAAGTTAATCTTCGTATCCGCTACGAAGATCACTTGGAATGAGGAATCGAGTCAAAACATGCGCAAGTTATCTCAAAAATAACAGAGCGCTTCATCTCAAGTGTCCACAGTTATGCTTGACTTTAGTACGGGAACGTGAATAGGACGTGACGGGTAGTAATAACATTCAACTAGAGATTCATTCCTACCAGTCCCTTTGGACACTGAAGTCTGGACATGCTGAATGGTTTCTCTGTCCCAACTGTGAATTAATCACAGGTCAGGAAGTTAGTCTGCAGAGGCCAGCGAGTTCAGCTTGATCTTACCAAAGTCAATGGGATTGAAACAAAGCGACGAGCAAATAGAACACAAAGTAGGAGACCCACCAAATGAGCGGGAAGGACGAGACCAACTCATCAAAAAGCTTCACTTCCATCCTCTGTCCCTGGCATCCATCCGATTTCCTGAACAGTTTCATCTCACCGATCTGAAAAAGGAGAACGGCAAGGCACAAAAACCGGAGTGAAATTACCTTCTGACCGGTGTTTGATGAAAATCCGAATTATTATTTGCTTAATAGAACAATGGACTGATCTCTGTATTGGCTCTTATGAGATCACGCAGGTGTCCACTATGTTGTGGCTGGCGAAAGTGAGAACCTACCGCTTTCACAGCAGCCAGTATGTTTATAAATGATCCATCCAGACTCTTCCCATTGGCCACGATGTCTCCCAGAGGGTAGAAGTCTCTGGAGTCCTTCACTGGCATGTGAATCAGTGGCAGCAAGCTGTCACTGGTGTCCACGTCCACACAAAGACACATTTGGGAATGAGCCTCTGCAAGCATCAACCTGTAGGGACTGGCAAAGAGAAGGAGAGGAGAACTGTGAACTTAAGACATTGGAAACCATGTGACTTGAAGATTAGTTACCTCGGTGTGGTAGGACAGAATCTTTCCTCCTTCTCTAGATCTTTGGTGGTCACCAATGGATTTTCAATAATGACTGAAGACATAATAATGACGTAGGCATTCAGCAATATCAGAGTAGACACTTGAGGGACGTTTAGACGGGAGTGGGGTGGGGGCGGTTTTGCTTACCAACATCACCGATACTGAAACTGCTGCACAGCCTGTTAATGTAACCATCGCTTCCCCAGGCCGACACATTGATAAAAAAGTCAGGAGAGTCCTTAACGGTGAAGCCAAAAGTGAATCTGTCCACACCAAAGTCTCAAAATTCACATAAGACAGTAAATGAGAAAGAACGCTCAAACAATGTTATAACTATTCACCAGAAGAGGGCGCCAGTGGACAAAACACGAAGGCATGAATTATTTTACAATCAGAGCATGTTGTACTTCTACTGAAATAATAAATTCGACATACTGAGTGAATAAATGTGATACATACTTTTTCTGTCAGGGAAGCCCTTAATATCAGTTTTTCCTATGATTATACCAATCACTTTCTGGAAAAGATACAGTCTCGTTATTGTGAATCAAGAAATTCAGCCTTAAACGTCAACATTATTGAACCACAACGTCAGACCATGCAAATTTATAATAATAATAAAAATACGAAACACCCTGCCCCTAAAATAGTTAAGAATTTTGTGAAAAGAAAAATATTTTTTACTTACAGGGTGAGACAATTTGGGATGAAGCTCAGAGATGGAATTGTGGTTAATGGCGGCCATTTTCAGCACTTTTTCTAATAATTCTTCCTAACAACTCTAAAGACGATATTTCATCAATACCAACAAGTTAAATACCAATACTACAAACGAATATAAACATACTGTATTTACTTTCCCAAAGAATAAGTTTGTGTCAGTTCAACCTTGTTCAATTGTATCACGGCAAAAGTCTTCTTGTGCTTGCTTACTTGATGCCTTCGCGTGCAGTGAGAAATATTGACAATGTAGAAATATCGATGGTATCGTCCAAACAAACATGTCTAAATATTACGTTTAAAAGCTGTTTTTATACTCAGCAATTGTGCTTAGTCCATTTTTTAAATTTCACTAAAACCTGTCATTCAAGTCTTTTATTTTTTTTAGCTCCGAAACCAAAACTCACAATTTAAAACGCAACTCAATCCTCTTGAAATTTCACTTCCTGTAAATTTGTGTTTCCTAACCTTGAATGAGCCACGGGACGAAAATACTATTTTTAATTTAATTTAATTTTATATTCTACCCATTAAAATATAAATCACGGTACACCACCAAACAAAATTATATAAAATAAAAAAAATAAAAGATGCACATGGACAAAAATGTTGGTCCGCTTTTGGTAAACAATGGAAAACCGCAAATCGTCACACACAAATAACTTGAAAATTATGACACTGAGATTTGTTGAACTGCATATTAATAATCCACAATGCTAAATGTATTCTATCAACCTGCCTGTCACTATACGTCATTATCATGGACAGATGAATACAGATACATCATTTGTGTAAAGCAAACACAAAAAATAAAACGACAACCAATTGACATTGCATAATTTCCCACGTCTTGAGGATCATTACCGTCAGTGAAATGGCTCGAGGTGTCCCAATACTTTTGCCCACGTGTTGTTTTCTTTTTTCCTTCTAAATGTTGCACTGTACACTACATTGTGGATATTGCCATGCTAATCTATTCCAATCATAATTCACAGCACGGGATTCAACCAGCGACAGCTTGGCAAAGATGAATGTGACAATTTCCTGTCCGTTTGATTGAACAAAGCTGTATCTGACTGGTGATACTGTCCTATATAGCTAAGCATGAATGAAGAGCGGTGACGGTAAACCCGCAAACGCAGCCTTTTTCCTCATCTCTCTGTATGAATAATCCTCACAGTTGGCTGTTTGGGTAGATCATCATATCGCAGCCTTTTTCCTCATCTCTGTGTATGAATAATCCTCACAGTTGGCTGTTTGGGTAGATCATCATATCCCTTTCGACTAATGTTGATTTTTTTTTTTTTTTTTAGGCTTGGCCATTTAATTTTAGGTCACTGTCTGTGGAGACATTTGACATGGGACGCAATATGTTGTGTAATGTAAAACGGCAATATTTTAAAAGTGATTGATTACCTGTGTAATGGAATTGATCTGCTATTTGCGCCAGATGCACACTATTCAAATGAGATGCAATTTTAAAGTGTCATTTTGTTCGTGGGTTTTTTTATCTCATCAATATGCTATTAATCACAGCAGCGCCTTTATGTCCCCCCCATCAGATAAATCAAGCAACACTGTACCATTTGGGCAAATGATTTATTCACATTGATCCACAGCCTGTCCTAATCTGACATGAATCATCCTTTGATCCAATATTGAATATTGAGGAAGGTCTAAGTTTGGTTTGTGGCGCAATCATTTGTCGAAGATTATTGCCGAGCAAAGTAAAGACCATAAATAGCTCACATAAAAATCAAAGTAGAAATTATATTGGAAGAGTTGATTGACAGTCAGAAATATTAAACGCAGCCTTGTATTCAAATCTCAGTTGAATAACGTCATTAACGCCAGTGCTTCTTTTCCAGTTATGGTTTGTGGTGAAGACCCGTCCGCCAGCATCTCACTGTAAGTGCGTTTTTTTTTCCTGTCCTAATTAACTGAATTTACCTCAAACATTCTTAAGTGACGGATGGGATTGTATATTATCAGCCATTTTTGAATTTATTTTCCTCTTTTGGAAATTGCTGTTGAGTTCACCAATGGCAGTGGATTGTGTTTGTAAGTCTTTTATAGTACAAATTCATAAACTGTTATGTTTGTTGAAACGCACGGCGGGGCCTTTGCTGGCTTTTTGATCTGAAGGGGGTAGACAATGCTCAAAGTTGATTATTGCTATGTGTGCACCTTGCTTAATTGCCCATCTTATCTGTTTCCACTCTTTGTTGGTGTAATTTATTAGTTTGACCTGATCCTGTGAGCCCTGTTGAAAGGATGACAGTATTTTAGCTATTAGAGGTATGGCCATGTTGTGAAAGTACTCAAAAAAAAAAAAAGACAACATGTAATTTAAGCTTATGTAACACAGGAGCCATTGTGGCCGTGTCAATTTCTAAGTACAGCGCTTCACGTTTTCGTCTCTCCTCAAATTAGCATTGCAGATTTGTCTGATCTGAATCCTTCGGCCACCGCGCTTTTTATTTAGCAACTAGCTGTCCACAATGGCACCAGACGGGAGATTTGCCGTCCAACTCCCGTCCGTGTACACGAGAGCGGCGAGGATGAAGTACAGACACCAGTGACTGCACAGAGGCATGCCAACAGAATGGCAGCTCGTCGCCGAGCTCGAGTCTTTTCGGCGCTGCGGCACATTTGTTCGTCCTTCCGCTGCTTTGCGTCTTTGTCGAAGCGCAGCTCTTCCTCTCGTAGACCATTTGCAACCAGGAAGTCTTAGTCTTGTGTGTACACTAAGTCGGCATGCGATGTGGTTTAATGCAAAGCAGTTTTTCAGTGCTGCTATTTATTTTATTTTATTTTTTGTACAAAAAAACCATAGACAGGTTGAAGTATTTAACCGGCGGCTTTAGTTCACACGCAACCATGACAATAGTCCTATTCTTAAGAAAAAGACTGCAGCAGCTCCTATAAGAGCCACATTTCTTCAGATCATTAAACATATAGGCTGGTAAAACCTTAGCTGAGACTTTTACATCCAAGTATAGGTTTTGCAGTTGTTGGCATCAGCATGAGCAGACTTTATTGCCTTGCAAAATACGAGTACTGTATGTGGACACTATAATTTCCCTGCCACCTGTGTGACGGACGGTTGCTGCTGCACCACAGGGCCCGTTCGAAGCCAGTGAATGCACACTTCCTGGTCTGCATGGTGGAACCATACGGCTTGCCCGCTCAAGTCCTCACCCTGGGAAGACAGCACTATATATGTGGCTGTAAAGGAAAGGTTCAATGATGCTAATCATGAGCTGTCGAAAAGCAGAACGAAAAGGGAAAATAAAACCTATTGCCATATATCATTTTTAAAGAGACGCGGGAGGGGAGCATTAGAAATTTACAGTTGTCATGTTTTGTAGGTGTGAGAGAGGCTGAAAAAAAAGGAAACGTTTGAACATGGTGCAGATTGTGGAAATAAACGCGGTTGCTTCACTTTTGTGTAAACAAATCAGTGACAGTGTCAGTGGGAGAGTGACCAAGCCCTGAATAACTCAAAATATTTGCACCTCAAATCGCCTTCGCTCATTGAAATGAATTGAAATGCCATGAATCTGTTCCAGCTGCCCAAAAATTACAAACAAGAAACGTTGTTCTCTTTTAATAAGAGAAATAGCACTTAAATAGCGGCAGTAATATCGATTATTTTCTGCAGAGGATAAAGAATATATACGTGAGTAGAATTGTTGTATGCTCTGAAATCACGTCTTATCGTTCATGTCGAAATGTAACTCATTTGAAGATTTTAAAAAAACTGTGACATTGATGCGCAGTTTGTTTGTCCGTCTATGACATTTCCGATCACGTGTCAGCATTAAGCTTGGCTTTGAGTCAAAGTTATTATGCAAAAAAGAAAAAAAAGAAAAAGCTAATACTAGAATAGGGATTAATTATCCAAGCATGCCGCCCAGGCATGTTCACCATCTCCCTGCGTGTCTACCTTCCCCAATTACGGCCTCTCCTTTGCATTTGTGGCATGCCTCGGAGCGACGCCGAGTATGCGGCATTGCTTCACAAATCTCTCTCGAACTAGCGTGGAGAATTTTCTGAGTATACACAAACGTTTCACATCATACAAGTGACTTGATGTGTTCGAGTTCTAAGGAAGAACGTGGTGGTTTGGATATAAACAGTAACATCAGTGCAGCACAATGTTCCTAATAGCAATGGTTAAAATATTGCAACTGAACATTTTGTACCGGAGATCAGAACATCTGAAAGACTTGTATTCTGGGCAATGTGGGTGTGTGTGGAAATAATACCATTATTTAACTGACTCATGATGACAGTGCAACGCTATTATGGTCGTAGTCACAGGAATCAAAATTTAAGACCGACCAAGATAAAATGATCCATCTGTTATTATATTTCATGCAATTTCATGACTCACGCGCTGTCTTTTGAAGCTTCTCGCCGCCACCCAGGATGAAATGAATTGCGAGCGCCGTGTTATTTGCAGGTTTCATAGGTTAGCCAGTTGCGCAATATGTATTTGCCTTCCCTATTAGCGAAGCTTCTTATAGTTTAGTTCATAGTCGACCATTTGGGTTTATTTTGTAAACAGACACAGTGAAATTGTAGCGACAGTATTTTAATCAATCAGCATTTTTAATTTTTTTTAACCTTTTCGTGCACCCTGTAACCTGATAACATGATAAGCTACCCACTGTAGTAACCGCTGTAGCCGAAAGGGTTCATGTACAGTAGTTTAACAGTCTTGCTAGTAGATGGCGGCATCACTTTCTGGGCTCCAACCCATCGGGCTGAATGGGACCTTTTGTTTGCCTCCATCGATTTCCTCTGGGTGGAACTGGCTCTTGCGAATGAACAGATTACTGCAATCCAAAACACTTAGAGTAATTTAAAGTCACCGAAATTGTTCAAGTAAGGAAAAGTGTTTGCTTTAGTCGAATCAATCCAGACGGTGACACGGAATGTAAACATCCACCCAATTTCGAAAATCAGTTTGTTGAGTAAATGTACTTAGTTGAATGACACCGCAACAGACGGAATCGGATTCTGCTCGGAGGTGAATCACTCGCGCTCGCTATTTTCATTCTCTTGGACAAAAATCAGGCTCGACATACTGCCAATGAAAATGCGTCGATGCCAAGCGAAAACTTCACCCATTCATCATCTTTACCCCGTCGAATCCCAGTGGTGCATACTTAAGGAAAGTCGGCCCATCAAACTGTCTACACCGACTCCAATCTTTACATCCTCCCTTAAGCCCCCCCCCGCCCCTCCGCCTTCCGACAGCCCCTGACAGAAATATCGAACGGCACATTTGACCCCGACTGACATTTTTTTTTTTTTCGGAATTTGAAAGCGTTCCGTTCTAAGGATGTGAAGGGGAGCGAACACGTTTCTTTAATTACCGCCGAGTGATACATTAAGCAGACGCCTTCATTTCGTGGGTGCGTATGCCCCTCAAAACAATGATGCATTGTTTCTCAAAGACGGGCACAAACTTTTCACCACGAGACCCGAGTGGTATTTATGACTCATTTTTAAAATGAGTTCATCAAGTGCCGACGTTCTCATTCGGTCCCAATAAAAGCAAAAAGACACGCTTTCCATCCTGCTGAATGATTGAATGTTGGACGCATGAAATTTAATTAGAATTATTTTAATTTTTAAAAGCATGTAACTAATAATAACAAAGATATATTTGCATGATTTATCTCCCATTTGTTGCTGTTACACTTTTATCGCTGCGGAATGAAGCATCATATGTGCCGCTCTACTTGGTGTAGCTAATATATTCTATTTTTGCACAGTAAACACTATTTTAACGCAAACGTTTTGATTGTATTTTCCCTCGTGAAGGCAGCACTTCATCACGAACCCCAGATATATGGCTGCGTTTATTTCATCAGAAGCTAACGAAAATACCGTGAGCAAATTTGAGCGAATACAACACGGCAGCCTGTCACTTGACCATGCCGAATCTTCACCCAGCCGAGCTACTAAGTCATGGGCTGAGATCTCCAAAATGGGAGCTTAGAATGTATTTAGAAGAGCTGATTAAAAGTGTGACAGGCAGGGGGGATAACAAAAAGAAAAATAATTTCATTGCAGAAATGGCCCTGATGAGTGGATGATTGATAATGAGGGCTAAAGCCCATCAAAAGGAGACATGTTGTTTTGAACTCGACAACAGTTGGCCTTCCTCAAAGCAAACGCTGACATCGGAAGTAAAAGAAACAAAACAAAAAAAACACCAAAAGCCTTTCCTCAGGATGCTAGTAACATCCCATATGGAAGGCATCAGGCAAGCGCACGCTAATAACAATGCGGCTATGAGTTTAATAAAGAGGAATGGAACGAATTATGGCCCTCTCCCAGTCTGCGCCATCATGTACTGCAAAGCATTAGCGTGGCCTTGGCAACTTGCTACGCAGACTGGGAAGGATGACGGCGAGAGGAATGTAGGTGGGTGCCAGCCTTCCCCAGGATTAACCAGTCAAGTCCCCCTGTGGGCTTCCAGGCTGCGGTACGTTGAAGGAACACACAGAGAGATGTCGGTGGGGGGGGAGCAGCACGTTGACGGGCTCCACTGGGGATAAAGGACCATCAAAAGCAGTTCAACCATAAATGTTGATTTGATTCTTGATTAAAATGGAAGGAAGATTTATGGAGACTGCCTGGGGACATTTGACAGACAGAGGGAGAGAGAGAGATGATATTTGTGAGGGATAAAGAGAATTCCACATTGCGTGTTTTAAAACAAAACAAAAAAAACATAACTTTGTCTCACACTGCTAGCATAATACCCACAAACAAAAGCAAAATGCCATAGGAAGGCGAACAAATTGCATTGGCGTTAGTGTTTAGAGCGACACACCTTTGAACACAAATGGTGCAGTAAGACATATAGACAGACAATATATCAATCG